TTATGAGATTTTTTTATGTTTTAAAATAAAACTGAAGAAACAAGAACATTGACTATCATCAATCAGATATGTAAGATAAACTAATATAGCATGTATGACTTGTACTACACCGACAGTGTTACTGATAAAGCTAGTACAAATAACCCAACCCATATTTTAATGGTTATAGTTTAAATGTTGGTTTAACTGTATTTAATACTGCCTTCTAAGTAGCGGTCGTCAGTGTAACTTCTGAACAAGCAATCAATTCCCGGATCCATTTTAATGGTTATAGTTTAAATGTTGGTTTAACTGTATTTAATACTGCCTTCTAAGTAGTGGTTGTCAGTGTAACTTCTGAACAAGCAATCAATTCCCGGATCCATTAAGACTAATGCCGAACCCAGTAGGGAGATTGTAGCTAAAGTTGTGGACAACCATAAGGGTTGTCAAGGCTCTTTGTAGTCCGTAAGACAAGGAAATGTATCTCAAGACAAGGAAATGTAGTATAGGAAATGATTCACCCTTTAATACTCAGAGGGCTAAACAGTGGTAAACATGAATATGCCAAATACCATTTACGCTTCATTACTTATGTCCCATGTTTTAGGAGGTAAAACCTATTGTCAGACACAGAAAATCTGAAAATCTCAGAAATACTATTAATACTACTGCAACTACTTGCAACAACACAACTAGGTACCTAATAAAGTGATTGAAAAAGAGGTAGACAATTGGTCATTCATGATAAGAGTGGCGTATTTTTACTGGATGTCACAATCTTAAGAGACCGAAATTAAAATTGAATGAGTCAGTGCATGATGTACTGATTGTATTGTTTATATGTACACTCTTCTTTTTACTTTTTTCAGAATAAAGATGAAAAGAGATAGCTAGAGATTGTGTTATCTTGATATCTCTTTCTTACAGCTAAGTAAAGGAATGCTCAGTCTAACCTCCAAGATGTAAAAATATTTCAGCATATTTTATGTCATAGTTTATTCTATGAAGAAAAAATTAAAGTCTAGTATCATAAGGTTGACAATGATGGTGCAATAATATGTAACGGTGTGAAAAAATTGCACCAAAACATTTTCAAGGCTTCCCAATGACCTTTTATAAGAACATAATGTTGGTTAGATAGTTTCGGGTCATTGAAAGAGCACAGAAACACGATAGAGCAAGAATTTGTAGGTTAAGTATCCGTAAATTAACTTTAACATGAACAAAATCAGTTAATGAGAAGATTTACACACAAGTGTTAAAGAACAGATTGTGTAATCAAAAACTCATGTTCAATCTTCCTCATAAATCCTGATTTGAATTTAAAAAAATACCATTGCACACAGTATGCAGTCATACATCCAAGCCCTGAAAAAGTAACAAGAAGCAATGACCAACGCACATAAGTCCAAGAAGAAAAAGTATGCACATAACATGCATAAACATTTTCTTTCTTTCATTTCATGATTCAAGTGTTAGAATTGCATCATTAATGTTATGACATGGTTTTGTTTACATAATACCACTCACCTGCCAAGGGTTCACTTTTGGAATAGGGGCTTCAACAAACTTCTTCGGTTGACTTTCTGAAGATTGTTGCTGCTGCTCTGGCGTCGGCTGAGGCTCAGCGTGCTGAGCCGGCGCCTTATGAGGACGGGGTGGAGCCCTACGCTCAGGGTGCCTTCGCCCCTTCCCAGGACGGCGTCCGTGCGATATGACGGGCACAAAACCCTCTTCCTCTTCTTCATCCTGCTTAGTCGGGGGCGCGTCAGACACTTCACCTGGTGCGGCCTCAATGTTTTCCTTGTTACTATCACTGCCCCTAAAGTTCAACACTGACGCGTAAGAGGGCCCTGCGCCCTCGGCGGACACGCGGGCGGCCATGCCGCCGCTGCCCTCGTTATGTAAGTCCGGGCGCGCGCTCCGCGCCAACAGACGATCACGAGCGCGCCTCCATGCCCCTCAACACGACGGCATGATGGGGTTAACCCACTAATCACGAACGAACTTTCCCGATGAAAACTGGCCGATCGAACAGTGCGAAGGTCGAATAATTCACGATTAACTCACACGTCCCAGTGGCGCGCACACAGGGCCGGTTGCTGAGAAATATGCGCGAACCTCTCGTAGCACACCGGACTGACCCTGGTTGGACCGTATTTACATCGAAAAAATGCACTTCCGTCGTCTTGTTCCAACTTTTCTGGCACACTGAACGATCCGTACGCACTTTATCTATCGATGTCTTGTACCAATCACTATGAAATACGCTTCTATTATCATAAAATCATAACAGAACCATATTTTGTTCACTATTCACACATGTGGTCGGCCGCCCAAAAAGGGATTTTTCCGCAACACACACGGAACTTACGGAAGGCTGTGACTTCTAATTTTACCCAGGACATTTTGACGCTAGAGGGCGCTGAAACATCACTGACAGTGAGCACATTCGTAATTAACAAAATATAAATTAATTTTTTGGAGGAACTATTGTGTTTACTGCTCGATAATTAATATAATGTATTGAAACGTAAAATTTCACATTTTTATAAGTATGATTGATTGGCTTTTTAATTCAATCGATCAACGAAATATAACTCATACGCAAGTTTAATTGTGAACGCAGCGAAATAAATAATCACATTTCGGATCTGCAAAATGCTTGCAAATCTCCATGCTTTTGTGCAACACTGAAAATTATTTTTATAGTAATAAAAATGTGCGCAAAAATTAATTAGTAAATTAAGTTATTCATTTTAATTCATAAAATCTAAATTTACTGCAAAATAAAACAGATCATCATTCAAATATTTATTGTCTATGCTTCATCATTTGATTTCGTTTTGAAATCGATTACAAATCGATCTTGAAAAATAAAGTTATAAAAAATTACACATATTTAATAAAAACAAAATACTGAGTCAAACATGATTAAGCAATAATAATAAAAAATATGATACAAATTATTTGTTACGATACATTTTAGTTTACTGGTACACACTTTCCGGATTTGTTGGACAATACATTCCTAAAAAACTTCTACAATTTCTACAATAATGATAAACATCTTTACATGACTTCAAAATATAGGGCAAGGGAGCACAAATCCAACAGCACAGCAAGCATAAAAGAAATGCACATAAATGCGTGCATATAGTAATTCGGCTAGTAACAACTGTCATACCGGTGTAACCACATTCAGGGCATACCATTGGCATTGAAGTATACCCGAAGGTATAGACCCTCGATGGAGGCGGGGGAAGAGCAGGTTCTATGTAGACATCAAACGCCGTGGTATAAGTAGGAGGAGGACTATGTAGAACGAACGAAGGAGATGGAAAAAAGGTCCCCATGAACCGCGGCCGCCTCCGAACGGCCATTTGCCTCAACACAAACGAATATGACGGCGGTGCACTCGTCAAAGAATCCGGTGGAGTTATATCTCCCGAATTTAAATCGAGATTTAAAACTTTACTCCCATTTGCAGTTGGTTGAAGAAGCCTTAAATTACTTAAAACAGACAGAGTCAACGAACTTTCTTTAAGTTTTGACAGTGCTTGTAAAAATAAAGTTTGTGGTTGAGTAGAAACTGTAACCGAAGCTGGTAGCGGTAACTGAGACAAATGAGGCTGCGTTGTAATCGGACTTTGAGCTGGCGATCGAATTATTAAAGGTCCGTAGGAACTTAAATACGAATTATTTCTACTGTACGAAAGAGTAGTAGATGCAACTCTTGCGACGCATAAAGGAATGCCTGATTCCATGGTTACAGGTGATCTGCGCCCTGAACTGCTTCCTAACGTTGTTATAACTTGATGACCGCTCGCTACAGTTTGGTATTTCGGTAAATTCGGTTGATCTTTTATTACAAGCGATTCCCCTGTCGGTGCTGGCATAGATATTATTTTATCCGTCTGTGCTTTCGGTAATTGAGATTCGTCGTTTGGTGTTCCAATTTGAGACCTCCTTGGTTGATCTAATAATACAGTTGGCTGCTCTTTTATTAAGATGTTCGATGGTATTTCGTTCATTAAACATATTGTTTGGTCATTCGTTAAGATAGTGACATTTTGAAGTAGTGCCTTTGTTGGGGCTTCTGAAGTAGTTGGTTCTTCGTCTTCTACACTTTTTTCTGATTTCTTTGGCTGTATATCGCGACTGCATTCCGGTTTCTCGTCCATTTGATCTAAGCAACAGTAATGAGAACGTAAGTTTCTTTTTTGTTGTCATCTATAACACAAAAAGGCTGCAAAAGTTAGGATAAGTAGAACTAGATAAGAATCTAGTAAAAGTTCAACCTTTAGAAATAGAGGAAATAAAAGACACATCTCTGGTGATCTTATGTACATAGAAAAGTTGAATTTAATACATGTAAACTATGACATAAACAAAGAATATGGTAATTTATAATGTTTTTACCTGTTCATAAGGAAGTATGATTTTTGTAAATAATTATTTATTTTATTTAGTGCGTAAATTCACAAGTCTGTGCATATTTATTTTAAACTTTTGGGGCTCTTTACCGCTGCGAGTTTAAAATTGAATTCCGTTAAGTTACAAAATAAGTTTTGTTTTATTTATGAATAATTTCTGTTAATCATTTGGATTATTATTATTTGTAAATATTGTGGTGTCATTAAAAATGTCATTTATTTATTACTATGTCATATATGATTTAGTCGATTAATTAGTTTTGGTAAGTCATGAGAAATAAGTACTGTATTTCGTTTTTTAACATAACAGGTTTTTATAATTACACTGAACTACACGAATTATGATATGTAAAATATGTCAGTTTTATTCAGCTCAAGCTTATTTAGTAATATTATTTTTATTTTTGTAACCATAAATTATTTTCTAAGCAGAGTCTTAATTTTTTGTGCTGGTCACTGCCTTTTCATAATGTCAAAAAACCATTCTAGTTTCCGGTCTTTTTACTCCTCCGTGGCATGGCGGATGGTCTTTACCGCCGCCTATAGTGTTTATTGGAGGAATTTCTTCGCTGATATAGCGAAATGGTAAGTTTAATACAAACAAATGTGATAATAAAATGTTATTTATTATAAAGTGAAACAATTGGATGAAGTGAAAGTGTGTTCTGATACGTAATTGTTGCCATGGTCCAAACACGTGTTTGCGTATGCTTTTCGATAAATAGCAGGAATGTGATGGTGTACTGTAAGTTACTTTAATAATTCAGCCTTCAAAGGGCAGGAACAACTCATTTATAGGCATTTTTTTCTTTGTATAGCATTCTATAATGAAAAATGTTGTCGATGTCCGCATCACGCTATCAATGCATCCCTTGTTTATTTTTGCATGAAACATTTAAAAATCGTTTCCATTCAATTCTGTACTGCATCTCCAACATGCTTTTACCTAGTATTGCACCATACAACGCAATTATTTTAACATTTTCATGTTTCGAAAATGCGTGATACTTTTGAGGTTATGATTATTCACGAGTGAATGGTATGCCGGAAACCTTGTCATTTTTGTGGAAAAAACAACCTCAAAATACATCAACATGGCTTCATTACCTGTTTAAACAAGTCAATAAGTGCTTTTAAGATAATAAAACACGTACAATTACCTAAAACTATATGGTCAATTTTCATTTTTCTCCATGAAGGTTGAACTCCCCTATACTCTTCCTGGTTGCACTACATAGTCTTCCAGGTACAATTTTAAGGGGTATAACAATGAAGCTCCCGTAGGAAACATGACAGATGTAATATTTGTTGTGTGTCGACTTGTGGAGTACATTATTTATTATTAACCATATTAGTTGCCGAAGGCGACCTATGATTAGTAGTGGATGTCTAGAGACGATGATTATTTTTTTAAGTCTGCTTTGAGGCCTTACAATGCGCCTCTATAACCAGCCTGTACCATGCTTTCTTGACAAACCTTTGAACAGTGTTCTTTGTTAAAATCTTTTGTCCAAAATGTGTCACAGTCTACTTACATAGAACAAATTGGTCTTTCTATGTTGCTATTAGGAGTATTTACTGTAATATTAAATGTATTTTGCTTCGTAAAGGTAGCCTTAAATTTTGTGAATCACCATCGCTTACCACCAGGAGAGATGGTGGTCAAACGACAACATATGAAGTATAAAATAAAAGGCTAATGAACACCAATTCATCATTTTTATATATAAGGTTGCACTGTTTCTGCTTAAAATTAGAAGTAGATGCTAATAAGGTAGCTTGAATATTTACTAGTCATTCTTTAGTCATATAGCTTAAAATTAAAATATAAAAACCTTCTTAACCTGTTGAAATATGAACCCTAAATTTGTTTATACAAGTTTGTTTAAAAGTAGTCTTTGAACATCGGAAATAAAGTCTATAATGTAGTTAGAGGAGAGTGGTCACCGGTGACCGTGTGGGGATTTAACGATTCTTATTCAAAATCTATTAGTCGATTGAACCATTTCCTAATCACAAATATCATCAACATCTGGAAGATGTCGACTACTGTACAGAGGCCCCTTCAGTCCTCCACACTGCACGACGATCAGAAAATACTATACATAAGATACTTAGCTTAAAATAATTCTAACTATAATTCCATTGTATTCCAGAGTCTATCAGTTGCCCGACCGCTCGTGTCGGTTTACACGGAGAAGAGCGAGGTCGTCCCCGACGCCTCCCTCCCCCTCCCGTTCGTGTTCAAGGCCCCCATCAGGCCGGACCTGGTCAACGATGTCCATGTGTCCATGTCCAAAAATGCCAGACAACCTTACTCCGTGAGCAAGGAGGCCGGTGAGTTTTTGAAAATAGTTTTTTTTTGAGTTATTTTTTTATTATTCTGTCTGTAGCTTTGGTCGAGTTCTCGGTTTCGATTCCCGGGTCGAGAAAAGTCTTATTGCGTATTTTTCGGATGTTCGACAATTTGTCAATATGTTATTAGGCTCACTCTATTACATGGGACTCCATAATTGGTGTAAAATGGGTGTTACATTGTGTATTTGGCATAATGAGCCAGAATGTGCACTTCTGCCTACCCGTTTGGGTATAAAAAGCGATAAAAGTACAGAATGCAAACTTTGACAGATTTTAGTCGGTTCAATTTGTGTGAGGCAAGGTAATTTTTAAAAATCTTTGAATGCAGTTTTATTTCTTTTCAAAAATAAAGGAATGATGTCTTTGAGTATAATTTTCTATATTGAGTATTAAGAGTATGCCCCTTCAGGCGGCATTACAAAATTCCACCCTGTATATCTATTTGGCTGGAGTCATTACTGAAAGTTGCAAATCTGTGCAAACCCGATTGAAAAGGAATAACCTATGGAATTTCTTGCTCGTTCTTCTCCATAGGACTTGCACCTTGGAATGAGCAACTAGCTTCACTTTTAATTTTTTTGTTGTTGGCGTTCAAAAGGGCCTTCCTGGTCTGATTGAAATAAATGATTTTGAATTTGACTTTGTCTACTAAGTTAGAATTTTGGCCTTAAATTTCTTGGCCAAGTTAATGTTTTTGAACTATTTTATAAATTATAGTTATAACATTGCACAATAGTCCACACTCTCAGTGTGTATTGCTGCGGAGTGTTACTGCGATATCGTGCAACATCAATGTGAAGACAAGGCGTTCCGGACCCACTCCATAGAGGGGACGGGTGCATAGTTTTTACTACATACTAATATACTATTCTATTATAATGTAATACTAATTGTGGATGACATAAATTAGTTTAGCCACTCTTGACCAAATTCGATTATCGGGTCGTAATACCAACTCTGAGATGAACGAGACACAATTTTATTATGACATAAAATTTTGTTCTTTTTCTATGGCACTTAATGTCACTGTACAATGTAACACCTACTTTTCACTATTTATGTTATGATGAGTCCTATGTAATAGGGGTGAGTCTATTGCCATATACCGGGCATAACTCCAGACTCCGTGCTAATACTGGAAATTAAAAAAAAAAAAAGTAATACTTTGTCCGACCCAGGAATCGAACCCGAGACCCCTTGCCCGGCATTTGTGATCACTCTGGCAACGAGGCAGATTATATTATTTATTAATTTTTAATAAATTATTTTGCGATTATACGTCATTGTACCCACAGTACCGTGCGCGATATAAGGTCAAGGTCACCGACAATTTTCTATACGTTTAAAAGCAATGAGCTATTGATAGAATTTTATCCTATGTCGTGTGTGCGTTTACAAACAGAAATTCACATACGCATTACACCCAGACCTGGAACATCAATCTTTCTGCAAGATCAACCTTAACCTTGACACACGATTTAAAGGTCAAGGTCATTACGTTCTCTACGAATTATGTTTTACTATGTTCTTTCTCTTTGTACACAGGTCATCAGACCAGTGCCGAGTCATGGGGTACCGGTCGTGCCGTCGCCCGTATCCCACGTGTGCGTGGTGGTGGTACCCACAGGTGAGATTCATCATTTAATTACTTTCTCTTAACCGACTTTAAATAGAATAAAAAGGAGATTCTCAGTTGGACGTGTTTGTATGTATGTACGCGATTAGCACGCGATTAGTTGAACGGATTTTGATGCGGTTTTCAGTGTTGTTTGGTTTTTTATTATTATTAACCATATAATCTGTTGAAATATCGTACCCTACATTTTTATTAACTTCTTAATTAATAAATAAACTATTTATTATAAATAAATATTTATATAACAGGAACTAATACCTAATGCAATAGTGTATGCCAATATTAATAGAATTAAATTACAAAGTCTATTATTTTACAACTAGGTACTACAACATTCATCATTATGGTAACAAACATATTTCTTAAGCCAAGTCACAGATGGGTACAGCCTGTTACTGTACCTGACAGTAACAGGCTCTTCTGAATTTGTTCAGTGTACAATTAAATATGTCAATGTATTCCGACATCACATTGAGCGTCCGCAAATTGGTTCATACCAAAGTAGTCTCTAAACTTCGGAAATAAGGACTATAATGGAGTTAGTGGAGAGTGGTCACCAGTGACCGCTTGGGAATTGAGTGGTATGTCAATATTTTCTTGACATTTTTGTAATATAATGTAATTTAATTCAATTGCTGTATGTTTGTATTCTCATGATGTGATTTCCTTTAATTGAAGGATCACAAGGTTACTGTAATGGTGACGGTGTATGAAAATTAAAAATCTTATTCAAATTCAAATCACTTTAATGCATCTAATTTCACAAATTCAAATTTCACAAATACAAATACAAATCACAAATTTCACTTCAATAATAATCTAATTAGTCCGTCAGTTAGATAATGAAAAAATATTAGACACGTATTTTTTTATTTTGTCATATGAGAAAACAATACTTAGATAAAACGAATCAAAGTTTAGGAGCGGGAGGTAGCTACGTCATTTTAGAGTACAAATCGTAATCAAAGGTGACGTCATGCGATATTTCAAATCAATATAATATCTATCTTCGAAACTATCAGTTTCTGTAAGAAAATAAAAAAATACGTGTCCAATGTTTTAAGTAATCTACCAGACGGACATTAAAATAAAAATTAGTCATCTACCCTATTATCTGTTACTGAAAAATCAGCCTTTCGTATTATACACTTGTTTAACCTGGGCTATGAACTCAATATATCCCCGTTTAAAGCTGCCGTAGTACAGTTACTATGGTGAGTCACAATGGCGGGGTACATTAAGTTCTAGCAGCGCGGACGTCTACTCTCTATGGGTAGACGCATTCGATATGTTAGAATACAATGCTTTTAGTAATAAATTAAATTAATGTTCACGGCAAAATAATATAATGTGAATGATTACTATAGTTAATTGCTCATGTTGTGCCATATTCGATTTCGGTTCGATTCTCGACAGAAAGGATTGAACATTCTAGTTTCAATATTGTTATTTAGACAGACACCATACATTTTTTTACCATTTACATATGGTAAAAAATATCATGTGGAAACCAGGACTTAATTTCTAACTATAAGTTTGAAATTGCCAACCCGCATTGAGCATTGGTGATTAATGCTCAAACCTTCGCCATGTGAGAAGATGCTTTTGCTCAGAATTGGCAATTTACTGTTGATGATGTAGTATACTCATTTCAAAATCCTTCCCCCAGGTCCGGTCAGGGTGCCTTCGGTAACATGTGTCGTGGTGGACGCATGTTTGCGCCAACTAAGCCCTGGCGCCGTTGGCATCGCCGCGTAAATCTACGCCAGCGCCGCGCCGCCGTCGCCGCCGCCGTGGCCGCTAGCGGAGTCCCCGCTCTCGTTCAGGCTAGGGGTACGTACATATTGCAAGATTTGGATTGCAGATGGATCACCTGATGGTAAGCAATCAGCGCCGCCCACGGCCGCCCGAAACGCTAGAAGAGTTTCAAGTGAGTTGCTAGCCTTTTAGAGATTAGGGATTTTAAGTATGAGGATTGGGATATCTGGATCATGGGGAGTTTGGTGATTGGTGAGTCTGAAGATTGGACGGTATTAGGCCTCCTGTAACCTCACTCACGCGGCTGACAATGCAATAAATATTTCATGCCGGTTTCCTATGAGGCCGTTCGGAATTCATGGCGCGTTGTGTACATATTTGACGTAAATTATGACGTCATAACTTGTTATTTTTGTGTTCAACTAAAATACTACGTAAGTAATATTAAAATGTTGACAATATGCCAACTTCTCTTGTTCTTATGAGTAATATTCTCCTAAAAAGCTAATTACTGATGAATATATCTGTAATTATGTCAATGGAGAGATAGTAAATTTCCAAGCCAACCATCCGGCTAAACCATATGGTTTAACGCGGACGTAAACTGTGGAAAACATTTACTTTTTTTACAAACAAGTAGAAGTATGTGTAGGTATGTATCTGCTACATGCGGTCCCACTTCCGCCCTCTCACTCATCCTATTTACTGATAGTTCTGAGTGATGACATAACTATACAAGCACACAAACTGCTATTTGCTGGGGACAGATGACCGACAGACCTTTGTAAACATTTCACATCAATCAATATAAAATTCCTTGTACCCAGGTCACATCATCGAGAAGGTCCCAGAACTGCCCCTGGTGGTCTCCGACAAGGTTCAGGAGATCAACAAGACCAAACAGGCTGTCATCTTCCTGAGACGCATCAAGGCCTGGTCTGATGTACTGAAGGTAAGGTCATACACATACTTAGGTATCGTCATGAGCTAATGTTCACATGTAAACAGCAACTCATGTATAGAGATTGTCCAGTCTACTGATGGTAGCGGTGACTGTCCAGGCGACACACGTACTTAGGTATCGTCATGAGCTAATGTTCACATGTAAACAGTAGCTCATGTAAAGAGATTGTCCAGTCAACTGATGGTAGCGGTGACTGTCCAGGCGACACACGTACTTAGGTATCGTCATGAGCTAATGTTCACATGTAAACAGCAGCTCATGTAAAGAGATTGTCCAGTCAACTGATGGTAGCGGTGACTGTCCAGGCGACACACGTACTTAGGTATCGTCATGGGCTAATGTTCACATGTAAACAGCAGCTCATGTAAAGAGATTGTCCAGTCAACTGATGGTAGCGGTGACTGTCCAGGCGACACACGTACTTAGGTATCGTCATGAGCTAATGTTCACATGTAAACAGCAGCTCATGTAAAGAGATTGTCCAGTCAACTGATGGTAGCGGTGACTGTCCAGGCGACACACGTACTTAGGTATCGTCATGAGCTAATGTTCACATGTAATGCTAGTATATTAGTGTAGAAAATTCTCCTAAAAAGCTAATTACTGATGAATATATCTGTAATTATGTCAATGGAGAGATAGTAAACTTCCAAGCCAACCATCCGGCTAAACCATATGGTTTAACGCGGACGTAAACTGTGGAAAACATGTTTATATTACATACTTAAAAATTGAATTTAACCCTTAGAGCGCCACGTCAGTCACCGGTGCCTGACGCTAGTGGAGGTTTGACTTTCACCATTTTAAACTTGGCAGTTAAAGTATCGAATGTTTTAAGTCTTTAATCGAGTTTTCGCGGTGTATTGATATTAGAAAATTCTTTTAGTTTATTTATCCTGCTTTACAGTACTTAGCTGGAGAGGGCTTTGATCCCTAAGCAACACAAAACATGGAATGGATTTCTCAATTTAATCTTATTACAATAAGACCTATAACATCATATTTCTACTCAAAACTTAATTTCTACTCAATATTTATCGCTAAATCTTTTTTATTGTTGACAGGTGTACAAATCCCAGCGCCTGCGCGCCGGTAAGGGTAAGATGCGCAACCGTCGCCGCGTCCAACGCAAGGGACCCCTGATCATCTACCACAAGGACCAGGTATGTTCAAGTAGTATAAAATTACTAGAAAATAGGTATGGCAATAAAAAATGTAATTAGTCCGTCAGTTAGATAATGAAAAGATATTAGACACTTACGCTCGAATACTGAAAGGTTTCCGAATTTAAGTCCCGTTTTAGTATTGTTCTGTCATTACAAATTCTTTGTAAAATGACAGAGATGATACAATATTTATGTACACACACACGGCCACACATCAATCTATACAAAACCAGTTTATCCTGGTGTTGCGTCGCATCATCTTTCCGCACATTTAAAGTTTAGTTTATACTGGTTATGTAAAGCTCGATGTGTAGCCGTATGTAAAACTGGCTTCTGCCCGCGACTTTGTACGCGCAATCCCGTTTTTGACCGTTCCCGTAGGATTTTCAAGATGTTTTTCTGTCGTAATAACCTTCTCCTGACAATAAAATACACAACAAACAAAATTCAGCCAAATCGGTCTAGCCGTTTTCAAGTTATAGCGTGACAACGGGAAACGGGTTTCATTATTATATAGACTTGAAATTCAGTATCTTTTCAGTATTCAGGCGTTATATTATTATTTTCTCGTATACAGTTACAATATTAAGATAAAATGGCGTTAAATTTAGGAGTGGGATGTCGTCAAACGATATTTTTAATTAATATATCGTCGTAAGTATGTAATTTCGTGAGAAAAGTATAAATCCGTGTCTAATGTTTTATATTAATCTACCAGACGGACATAAATAAATTTAAGAAACTACCCTATTTCACTCTATCTTCGGCAACTAACCTTTACTAATATTTTGCTAATATTTTCTCACCCGGTAACTGTGAAGTGTAGTTTAAGAAAGCTACAGTTTTGTCTCTGGGTGATATCGACGCTACATAACCGAACTGCGCGCGTCCATACGCAAGGCAGATCATAATTGTTGCTACAAGTCTATTTTCTTAGATATTTTAACCATTTTCTTAAGATCAAATTGTCTGTACCGCGAATCGGAAAAGCTATATACTTCCGTTATAGCATGGAGTTCTGATATTGCGTAATTGGGTACTTGTCAAATTATATACTTCGAGTTTTCCCTTTCTGTGCATTTGGGAGGTCTAATCTTGAAGGCCGCTGAAATAGCGACAAAAACAGATTTGGATGAAATCACATTACTAGTAGTAATATTTCCAGGGTTTTGATATATTTTTTCTTTAATAAGATATACATTAAGAATGTTATAAAACATTTTTTTTTCTATATTACTTACTAGCTTTTACCCGCGGTTTCGCTCGCGTCACAAAAGGTTAAAAAGTAGCCTATGTGACATATACCAATACATACAGCGCCATCTATACCAATACATTTGTTTTCCCTCGGGAATATCAAATTTTTGGGGATGCAAAGTACTCTATTATTTAATCCAGACTACTAACTTTACGTCTGCAAAAATTCAATGCAATCGGTTTAGTAGTTACGGCGTGAAGTCGGTACAAACAAACAAACTCACTTTCCGATTTATAATATTAGTAAGGATGTTAATTTTTATTCAACTTAGCTCTAGTTATTTATTATTTTGTTTATATACATTAGTCTGGTTTCCAACATTTTGACTAACTATTATAATTTTTATTATTTTATTGTATGCTAGGGTCTGACCCGCGCCTTCCGCAACATCCCAGGCGTGGAGATGCTGAACGTAGACAAGCTGAACCTGTTGAAGCTCGCCCCCGGTGGTCATCTCGGACGCTTCTGCATCTGGACCCAGTCTGCTTTCGACAGGCTTGGTAAGTGAATATTATCTATTTATTATCTACTAGCTTTTACCCGCGGCTTCGCTCGGGTCACAAAAGAATAAAAAGTAGCCTATGTGACATATACCAATACACACAGCGCCATCTACCAATACTTTTGTTTTTTTAGGGAATATCAATTTTTCCGGGTTAAAAAGTACCCTATTATTTAATCCGGACTTCTAACTTTATGTCTGCAAAAATTCAAAGCAATCGGTTTAGTAGTTACGGCGTGAAGGCGGAACAAACAACAAACAAACTCACTTTCCGATTTATAATATTAGTAAGGATACAATATACTAGAAGACCCAACAGACGTTGTCCTGCATATCCACTTTAATGTATAAACAAAAATTTTTCAAATCAGTTCAGCTGTATAGGATAAATAACCTAAACATCGACTGCAGCGCCATCTGCTGGGCTGATTTGTGAATCTACACCATTCCCAGATCCCCTTGAACACACACAAAAAAAAATCATCAAAATCAGTCCAGTCGTTTGAGAGAAGTTCAGTGACATACACACTCACAGAAGAATTATATATATAAAGATAGACAGCCTTCCACGATATATGGATTATCCACTACGCAGGCGTAGGTTCCCCTATAAGCCTTACTCGGTCCGTTGCATACGGATCGGAGTTACGAATAGAAGGGGTAGAGTAAACATTCCCTTAGGAAACACTGACACAGGCATCTAGTCGGTCAGTGTGTCGACGTGTGGAATACAATTTATTAAACAACTTCAAAAAGAAAGACTGCCTCGTTGGTCACAAGTGCGACTACTGGGGTCGTCTCGGGTTCGATTCCCGGGTCGGGCATAGTGTCACTGGGTTTTTCAAACAGTGTAGTTACGACACTGTTTTCGCGTTACCTAGGTCAAAGTCAAAGAAAGCATTTATTTCAATGAACCTTGTGTAGTATTGAATGAAGGAGAACGAGCAATAAAATCCATTGTTACTCTTTTAAAAAAAATAGGGTGAAAGATTAAAATTTATAATCCCGCCCTCTCTAAAAAGGGGGTAGAGATTATCATAAAACTTGATACGAAATAAAAAAGTTACTGATCTGACTATTGGGTTGGTTTAACCCCTCGAGCGTCCTTATGAGCCCCCGGTGGATCATAAGAAAAAATGCTCCATGCTGCTTTCTCTTTTATAAAATCTATTATTAATGTTTTGTTTTTATTTTGACTGTATTTATTTTATTTCTATTGTAATGATCCTTGTTTTCGTGTGCCAATGGCCAAATAAATACATTTTCTTTCTTTCTTTCATTCTCCAAATGTCACGTGTGCACCCGTTGGATCATAAGGAACGCGGACGCTCGACGGCTTAAGACTGGCTATGTTTTAACCTTTTTATGACTTCGCCTTTCTCTGCAGACGCCCTGTTCGGCTCATGGAAGACACCCTCAAAGGAAAAGAAGAACTTCAACCTGCCCCAGCCTAAGATGGCCAACACTGACCTGAGCCGTCTGCTCAAATCTGACGAGATCAGGAAGGTGTTGCGCGCGCCCAAGTATGTATACTTTCATATCGTTAACTACCCATATACATTTTATTTGTAGTTTTATAATTTTACTAGCGGACCCGACAGACGTTGTCCTGCATATGTATGAAAGGAAAGACCAATAATGTTAGTTTAGGATAATTATCCTAGACACCGTCTGCAGCGCCATCTGCCGGGCTGATTTGTGAATCTAAACCATTCCCAGATCCCCTTGAAGACATACAAAAAATTTCATCAAAATCGGTCCAGTCGTTTGAGAAAAGTTCTAGCCTGAATAATTAATAGTCCTGTCTGTCTGTTCATTTGTTTTCAACTTATAAGTGGTTCCATATTTTTTGATGTCTATATACCGTGAAATTTATTTCGTTTTCGTCTGTTTTTAAATTTTAAACTCGGTAGTACATGTATCCATAAATACAACATACCAAATATGCAATCTCTAAATCGGGTATAAGATACCCACATGAAGAATAGCAGACACAACACAGATACAGTACACAGGAAAACACATATATATAAATAAATTGGAGGGACATAGGTACTACATATTCCCGTAGGAATCTCTTCCTGCAGTCGTTCGACAGGAAAAACGGTAAAAACTAAGACACTGTGTGTAAACATGTAATATATAGATTATTCTTACTTTAATATCTTTTCCAAATGATGATAATTCTCTATCAGAGCATTGGGTTATGATAACCATGATTACTCACACGTTGACACTTTCTGATACTACCCCCATCTTACTCTAAACAACACAAAGTACCTCACAATATTAACCATTTAAATCTCATTCACAGCAAGCGCGTAGTCCGTGCAACAAGGAAGCTGAACCCTCTGACCAATTCCAAGGCTATGCTGAGACTGAACCCATACTCGGCTGTGCTTAGAAGGAAGGCGATCCTTGATCAGCAGAGGAGGAATAACGTTAAGGCTTTGGCTTTAGCTGAGAAGCGCGGTGTAAGTACTCATAGCTTATAAACGAGTAGACGGATCATCATGATAAGCAATAGGCCTCCGGAACTATAGAGGATTTACACAAGTGCGTCGCTGACCTGGGGGCTTACTCTTGTATCCAAACTCAAACTCAAAAGCATTTATTTAAATTAAACCATAATTTGGTACTTTTGAAACCTCAACAAATATGAAATAAATAATAGTCTGTCAGTCTGTCCGTCAGTGAAGCTAGGCGCTCGTTCCAAAATGTCGATTCGAGTGGAGAAGAACGAGCAAGAAACTCCGTTATTCTTAAAAAAAAAACAATTCCGATTGATCGACATTCGTATTGTAAAATGTCGTACTCTTGAGTTGCAGCACTAGCGCCCATTGCATCCGTATTGCGTGGGTATTGAAGGAACTAAATGGTATTGAATTTGGCTTTATATTCCGTATTCTAAATGCTACTTTAACAGCTACGATTGTGGTTGTATAGTTTTGATATTGGATAATTATTGAGATTTTATTGGATTGATCAGTTTCATAGATTGGTTTCAAGAGTAAGCACCCTGGATTGACTAGATTTGAGGAGGAGAAATTGTGCCTCTCAGCTACTAATTACTTTTCTAAGTCAGTAATTGCATGTCACAATGCATTTTATCAATATGTTATATAAATTGATGCTGTTGTTCTTAAGTTGTAAAATATGGAACAAAAATATTCAAACCTTCTAGAAAAGAGCGTACTCCTTTTTAAAAGGCTAGCAACGCACCTGTGACTCCTCTGGTGTTGTGGGTGTCCATGGGCGGCGCTGATCGCTTACCATCAGGTGGTCTGCTGGTTTGCCTCCCAATTCCATAAAATAAAGAGACTAAAGCCAAGGATACGCTATACATGTCCAACGACATGTATCGGCGGCATGTCGTGTCGTATCTCATGAAGTCGGCCGCAACGCCCCATAACGCGCAACTTATGTCCACAGAGACGTGTTGTTGCCAGACATGTCGACCAAAGTCCAAAGATTATATCTACTATATAAAAATAAGTCGGGTTTCCCTTCCTGGCGCAATAACTCCAGAACGCACGAACCGATTTCAACGGTTTTACATTCGGTGGAAAGGTCTCGGGCTCCGTGAGGTTTAAAATAAATAAAATTTAAAAAAATGTTCTTTATCTTTTAATCATCAAACGAAATATTACATAAAACGAAGCCATATGGTGGTAAAACGGAGTTCGCCGGGGTTTGCTAGTTTTCTCCTAATTATATCCTAAATGATGATAATTCTCTATCAGAGCATTGGGTTATGATAACCATGATTACTCACACGTTGACACTTTCTGAAGCACACAAACAACAATAAAACCCCACCGTAACTCTTCTCCTACTCAATATTAACCCTTTTACAGATCAAGCTGCCGGAAAGCGATCCTGCAGTCAAAGCAGAGAAGCTTCGTCAGCGAAGAGTGAAATCAGCCAAGGCTGCTGCGGCAAAGAAACCCAAGAAGCCGGTAGCCAAGAAAACCGCCCCCCCTCCTCCCAAGAAGGCGAAAGGTGTCAAGAAAACTGGCCCCAAGAAGGTCAAAAAACCTGTAGCTAAGTGAGGGAGTTAATAAATTTATATATTGACACAATGTTATGAGTTTTATTTTGGTGTTTTAGTTGTAAGAATCCTTAAGTCCATACATCCCCAAGTGGTCACAGGTGACCGCTCTCCTCTAACTACATTATAGACCTTATTTCCAATGTTTAGAGACTACTTTTGTATGAACAAATTTAGGGGATGACTTTCAACGGGTTAAGTCCATCTGTTGTGCACATTGATAGTCCTCGTACGAAAATTGTACTGTTTTATGGAATGGCTGCCATCGAGCAGCCTCATCACCTGGGTGCTTACTCTTGAATCTTAATTCCGATTGACCGACATTGGTATTGTGAAATTTCGTACTCTTGAGCAACACTAGCGCCTATTGCATCCGTATTGCGTGGATATTGAATGAACTAAACGGTATTGAGTTTGGCTTTATATTCCGTACTCAGAATGCTATTTTAACAGCTATGATAGGGATTGTATAGGTTTGTCATTGCATAATTATTGAGATTTTATTAGATTGAAATTGCATTGACATTGAGATTGGTTTCAAGAGTAAGCACCCGGATGGCAAGCAAGCAGCGCTGGAAATGGACACCCGCAACACATGTATTTTGTCTATTTAAGAATAACGACGAATGTTTGAGGAACTAACAACATCTAAAACTATGGCAACACTCCATGAAAGTACGTTGAATGTCATAAGCTGTGATCGAGTTTATTTTGCGAATCGTTTTTTGTTTAAAACGGTACTATATACATTGGAATTTAAATGAATAAAACTTAGAAGAAGTTTATTTATTTATTTATATAAAAAAAAATAACAGCTAATTTAATCTTCATAGGTACTTAGCCTAATACGACAAAATTAGTGACATAATATAAAATTTCAAAATTACATTACACATACGAAAGTTACATTATACATACGAAATCTAAACATAGTATCACAAAATAAATAATAATACCACATTAATTAAAGAAACGTGCAAAAGACTGCCTTGTTGGCCGAGTGGTCGCAAGTGCGACTGCCGGGTTCGATTGCCGGGTCGGCCAAAGTATTACTGGGTTTTTTATGTGAATAAGCTCCACAGCAAAGAGTATAATAAGTGCTCCGCAGTCCGTTACTCCGCTCTGCAATACACTTGCTGGCTCCGCTCCGCTGCCTCTCTCCGCGACAATGGACAGACAGCTTAAAACTAAGAAGAAATTTATTAAACAAACATGGAAAAGAAAAATTCGAGTGCAGCTTCGACTGATAGTATTTCAAGTATAAAGTGATTTTCAATAGAATAAGAAGCTGGACAAATTTTAACAAATTAAGACTTAGTTTTCGCTGGAACAGTGGCTATGACGGGTAGGAATCGTATTATTGTTTATATTTTATCTGCTAGAAGTGAAATATCTACGAAATAAACGATTTTATGTTGAAAATATTGTTTACATTGCACATTTGTTTATAGGTTAGTATGGATTTTATTAGGTTGGTGCTAAGGACCTGTGGCGCCCTCATTGATTTTCATTTATATACCTAGTCAAACTGTAGACTGTAGAGGTGTGTTACCCGCCTTTTGATGGGTTAGGTATTTGGGGAGATTGGATACGTAGATACCTAAACTCTTCTAATATAATCAATTGAATTAAGTTACAAATAAAAAAAGCAACTACGTACAAAATACACATTTTGTAGTAATTATGTTAAAATCACTGAACATCCTAAACATATTTTGTATTAGTAATTTTGAAACTAAGTGGAATAAAAACATATTTTAATTTCTTTTTGTAATCATGTACTACTCAGGGCATTACATCTGAAGCAGTGGAGACTCCGTTTGCAGGAAATTAAAATATACTGCTAGGTAGCTATGGATGGTACCTAAAGCGGTATAGCAATACCTATCTTCAAATCAAATCAAATCAAATCACTTTTATTTGTTGTCTTAAAGCTTAGATTGTTCGTATTATGGAAAAACCACGCAACCCGCCACGTACTGTTCACTGCCTTCCCCCAGTCTTCCACCAATGACTAAACATCGCGAGGTACGAAGCGACGTGCACACAGCGACTATCGCAGACTTTTATCAGGTCGCGGAGAACCTAACGGGTAACCGGGGCTCCGGCTCGAAGTGCAGAGGAAGGAACGGGGTGGTTTTTAGTCAGTAAGAGTCTGACACTCTCCCGCCTCACCCCGGCGGGAGCAGTCATTCGATGATTTTCCCCCTTAAATAAAAACCTTTATCAGGTCACATGTTACACATCACATCAACAGCCTATTAGTGCCCACTTCTGAGCAAAGCCTCTTCTCAATCGGAGGAGGTTTGATAATTAATCACCACGCTTGCTCAATGCGGGTTGGCGATTTCAAACTTATAATAAGAAATTATAGGCCCAGGTTTCCTCACGATGTTTTCCTTCACCGTTTGTCAGTGGTGTCTGAATAATCTTAGAAAGTACATATAACTCGGAAAAAATCACATTGGTACTTGCCGTCCACAATCGTAGCTGTTACAATAGCATTCAGAGTACGGAATATAAAGCCAAACTAAATACCATTTAGTTCATTCAATATCCACGCAATACGGCTGCAATGGGCGCTAGTGTTGCAACACAAGAGTACGAAACTTCGCAGTACCAATGTTGATCGATCGGAATTGGATTCAAGAATAAGCCACTAGGTCATCTGTCCATAAGTTAGGATGTAGAATAATTCAATATAATTTTATACTTATAACGACGATTTCATAATAATCTTAATATTTTGTGGTATGTGGGTACTCAAAATGTGCACAAATCAGTCTAGCACCACATTTTTGCGAGATTTCATAGTTCTGCTTGAATCTTAAAGTTACATAAATCTACCATAACTTCATTACTGCATGGCAAGAAATCCAATAGCTTAATTTAAAAAAAAAAATCAAGAACAGCTGAACCGATTTCGCTAATTCTTTTCTTTTTTTTTATATTTGATGGGCCGACGTTTGACCACTATCTCGCCTGGTGGTGCACGATGATGCGGTCTACGATGGAGCACGTCGTCACATAAGCAACCTATTCACTCGGGCCTTGAAGACACCCAGGTTATACCCTTCAAAAAATACAGACTGCAAAGAATTCCACTCCTTAGCAGTACGCACAAGGAAGCTTGATGCGAAGCGCTTCGTGCGTGTAGGTGGGACATCTAAAATGAATCAGTAAAGCTTCGCCGATTATATAATTATTTTTTATTGTTAGGAGAAGGTTCTATTATGTAAGAAAAACTTAAACAAGATGCGAAGAAAAATTTCCAAAATGAAATAAAGTTCGTGTGGTCCACTAGTTTTTATTTTTATCTAGCGACCCGCCCCGGCTTCGCACGGATGCAATATGCATGTATATACATATAAACCTTCCTTAAGAATCCCTCTATCTATTAAAAAAACCGCATCAAAATCCGTTGTGTAGTTTTAAAGATCTAAGCATACATAGGGACAGACAGACGGCGGATATCGATTTTGTTTTATACCATGTAGTGATAATAATTCATTTTTTCATTCCACCCACAAAATTGTATTTAAATATAACTGGACCATTAATATACGAATGAGTTTCTATTAATTTACAAGTACTTACATTAGTATTAAACATTATTTTGAACTCTGTTTGTACTAAGTATATCTCGCGATTGGCTAAACCGATTTTCATTCGGTATTCAAAAACGATTGTTGTACCTACTTTAAAGCAGGTTTAAGTATACCAACCGACTTGTCGCGGAGAACCTAACGGGTTACCGGGGCTCCGGCTCGACGTGCAGGAGTCGGAACGGGGTCGTTTTTAGTCAGTAAGAGTCTGACACTCCCTCCCGCCTCACCCAGGCGGGAGCAGTCATTCGATGATTTTCCCCCCTTAAAAAACCGACTTCACAGACGAATTAAAACTTCTTTTTAACGTAGTTTATTGAAAATGATTGAGTTTTTTTTATGGCATAAGCCGGTAAACGAGCAGACGGATCACCTGATGGTAAGCATTCCGCGTCGCCCATGGACACCTGGAACACCAGAGGCGTTACACGTGCGTTACCGGCCTTTTGGGGATTAGGAATTTGAGGATTGTCGGGGATTCAGGGATTGGGAAGATTGGGGAAGGGGGTAAAGTTTGCCCTACAGTAACCTCACTCACACGACGAAACACAACGCAATCGTTGTTTCACGTCAGTTTTCTGCTCGGCTGTGGTATCACTTCGATCGAGCCGGCCCATTCGAGCCGAAGCATGGATTTCCCACACTTATGTAATAATTAAACCGTAAAACAAAATATTTTTTTTACGGAATAGGAGGCCAACGAGCATTCGGATCACCTGATGGTAAGCGATCAGCGCCGCCCATGGACACCCGTAACACCAGAGGAGTCACAGGTGCGTTGCAGGCCTTTTAAAAAGGAATACGCTCTTTTCTTAAAGGTTTGAAGGTCGTATCGGTTTGGAAATAATCACATATCATTCCACAGTTTTGCTGTGCGAGGCAGGAAGCTACGTGAGAAGCGCACAGTGGCCTGCCGACCATCTATATGATGGTATATAATCCTTACTAATATCCTTACTAATATTATAAATCTGAAAGTGAGTTTGTTTGTTTGTTTGTTTGTTCCACCTTCACGCCGTAACTACTCAACCGATTGCTTTGAATTTTTGCAGACGTAAATTTAGAAGTCCGGATTAAATAATAGGGTACTTTTTAACACGGAAAAATTGATATTTCCGAGGAAAAACAAAAGTATTGGTATAGATGGCGCTGTGTGTATTGGTATATGTCACGTAGGCTACTTTTTATTCTTTTGTGACGCGAGCGAAGCCGCGGGTAAAAGCTAGTGTAATATAAGGTCCAGTCGCCTAATAAGGCCCAACTTATTTCAAAACCTTGTATCTCTAAATCTTGTGGATAAATAGTAGAGAAGAAACATTGGAGGTTGTAATGTATTTATTTGACAATCAACATATCGAAAAAGTATTCATAAATAACTGCATATTTTTTAAGTGGCCCGTCTCAGAAAGTAGGCCATCTTTGGCGAAAATACCATAGTTTGATGTAGGTGTATTCTATACTTTAAAATAGTTGATTGCTTACATGGAATACGGTCAGAGTGCTAAGCACGAAAAACTATCGCATTCGTAACGTAATAGTATTAAGCGCGTTCGGCGCTCTGATTGGCCGGCTCAAGTGAACCAACCAATCAGAACGCCGAACTTTTTAATTGTCTATCCCTCCCTCCCCCCCTGGTGAGATTTCGTGAGATTTTATTCAATACCCTCCCCCATCCCCCAATCTCACGCTAGATTTTTCAAAATGTTGGTTTTTCACGTAAACGTCGTGTTGGCCCGGAGGTTTATGACGCACTTCTCATACATGAGGGCGCTGGTTCGAAACCTACCAACGGCAAGTACCGATGTGACTTTTTCCGAGTTATATGTACTTTCTAAGATTATTTAGACACCACTGACAAACGGTGAAGGAAAACATTGTGAGAAAACCTGGACTTATAATTTCTAATTATAAGTTTGAAATCACCAGCACGCATTGAGCAAGCGTGGTGATTAATGCTTAAACCTTCTCCGTGTGAGAAGAGGCTTTGCTCAGCAGTGGGCACTTATAGGCTGTTGATGATGACGTAGACGCGTTGGATTGTTATTGTAAAAAGAAAAAAAATCCATGTGCATGTACAATTAAATCTTAAGCATGTACAATCTGGATTAAATGAACTAAAATAGTATAATCTTTATTTGTTTCAATCAGAAAAAAAATTATTTGATATCTGCCTCGTTGGCCGAGTGGTCGCAATTGCGACTGCCAAGCAAGGGGTCTCGGGTTCTTCGATTCCCGGGTCGAGCAAAGTACTACTGGGTTTTTAAAAAATTCTCAGTAGTAGCACGGAGTCTGGAACTGTGCCCGGTATATGGCAATAGGCTCACCCACTATTACATGGGACTCATAACATAAATAGTGAAAAGTGGGTGTTACATTGTACAGTGGTATAATGTGCACCTCTGCCTACCCCTTTGCGGATAAAAGGCGTGATGTTATGTTATGTTATGTTATGTTGATATTTGCCGAGATCCCCATCTCTAACGTGAGATTATATGAGATTTGAGTCTACCCCCTCCCCTCCGTAAACATCTCACGTAATTTATGGACGCCCCCAATGCGATAATTATTCGGGTTTGGAATTCTGTACAGATTTTTTCGAATCGACCCATTATTTTATTAGCTCGATTTAAAAAAAGCCGCTGTCTGAACTATAAGAGCACCACCGCATAGCTCTTCGAAAATCAAAACAAACGGCGTTATGTTAAGAAATATTTGTTTTTTTTAAATGTTGCCTCACACTAGGATTTTCTCCTGTGTCGTGTGTGCGTTTACAAACATACAAGTTCACATCATACACATGACACCCAGACCCGAAACAGCAATTTGTGGATCACACAAAGTGTTGTTCCGTGCGGGAACGAACTCGCTGCACGTTGCGCGGCAGCCGGTTGCCCAGCCACTGCACCAACCGTGCAGTCACAAAATTGATATCAAAGTAATACTCGGAAATAAGATGTATAACATAACATCACACCTTTTTGGGCCCTGACGGGTTAGGCAGAGGTGCACATTACGGCACTTAAACCCACTTGTCACTATTTATGTTACGAGTCCCATGTAATTGGGGGTGAGCCTATTGCCATATACCGGGCACAGTTCCAGACTCCGTGCTAGTAGAGAATTTTTGTAAAAGAACCCCGTAGTTAATACTTTGCCTGACCCGGGAATCGAACCCGAGACCCCTTGCCCGGTAGTCGCATTTGCGACCACTCGGCCAACGAGGCAGTCGGAAATAAGAATATTTTAAATTGTAGGTACTTTCATATAGCTACGATATAAGTACCTACTTCTACTTATACTTACCTTTGTTTATAAATATTATTATATACTTGTCTGTCCGTCACATTCACTTTAAAGTTATGCAAGTAGAATGTTTTTATAATGGTTTTCGCCTAGTGTGCATGCATGCATCAATGCACCGCACGGCGGTAGGCCGTGAGATCATCATCAACAGCCTATAAATGCCCACTGCTGAGCAAAGCCTCTTCTCACACGGAGAAGATTAGAGCATTAATCACCACGCTTGCTCAATGCGGGTTGGCGATTTCAAACTTATAATTAGAAATTATAAGTCCAGGTTTCCTCACGATGTTTTCCTTCACCGTTTGTCAGTGGAGTCTAAATAATCTTAGAAAGTACCGTGAGATATTTGTCATTAAATATTTTAACGAATAATATATACTTCCATATATACTTATTTGCTTACTTTGTCGTTATAAATTATTATGTTAATGTTAAAATCCTAAAATTGTGACCGCTATTACAACCTCTTGTTAATCCTGGACAAATCAAAAAATGGTAAATTAGTTTAAGTATTTATTTCTGTACAAGTGATTTGTAATCTTTTAGAAATAAATGAATTCAAACCGTAAAACCGTACATAAATAACCAATTTGTCGTGGTTCCGATTCGTATGATCTTTCAGCACATTCATCGGTCAGTTTATACTGGTACAACATATCTTCGTAACTGCCGTAGGTATGACAGACAAAGTTGGCGATCGACGTGATTATTAGGCAATATTTGCATGCACTCGGCGCGAGCGACTACAGGGAAAACGCCCGGTGGATGGCAATCTTTTTTTTTATGGAGGAAAATCATCGAATTACTTCTCCCGCCTGGGTGAGGCGAGAGGGAGTGTCAGGCACTTAAGACTAAAATCCACCCCGTTCCTACTCCTGCACTTCGAGCCGGAGCCCCGGTTACTCATTAGGTTCCCCGCGACTCCGAAACGGTATCCGCAGGCCCGCGCTTACGGTGGCCGGAGATCGTCCCGCGATCCCCGATGCCCGGTGTGTCCTACGCGATGGCTGGGTTGCGAGGAGGCAGCGCTTCGCTGCCCCACGCGTCCTGCCTCCTCCTTAGCTAGCATAACTGCTTCGCAAAAGGAGGAGACGGCTTCCCAGTTCTCTTCGCTCCGCATCATGGCCCGCACTAGGCCCGAAAGCGAGAGGTCGCCGTCGCCGATCACTTCTCAGGGAATGACACCCGGGCGTTTCCTCCCGCCCCGTGGATGGCGAGCTTGCCACAGGATTTTGTTTAGTGTATTTTGCCGATAGTACGTTCGTGTCGAACTTCGAAGCACAACTCTCTCAACTCACCTACAAAGTATACCTAATAAAAAAGCAAAACCGAGTGAAAATCGTAGAGTATTAGGTACCTAAAATGAATAGTTTTATATTTTTATACTTTTACAATAAACTACACACGATAAAACCAAAGCAATAAAAATAAAATTGGATAAAAAGTTTTTCCTAGCCAAAAGGACGTAGTGACATGTTGAAATTATCATATTTTCTTCCTTTTTTAGCATATTTCTTGACGCAATGCTTTTTTGTTCAACCTTTACTCAATGCCCAAAGTAAGTACATTAATTTGTATCCACTATACACTGGACAATCTCTTTACATGACCTGCTGTTTACATGTGAACATTAGCTCATGACGATACCTAAGTACGTGTGTCGGCTGGACAGTCACCGCTACCATCAGTTGACTGGACAATCTCTTTACATGAGCTGCTGCTTACATGTGAACATTAGCTCATGACGATACCTAAGTACGTGTGTCGCCTGGACAGTCACCGCTACCATCAGTTGACTGGACAATCTCTTTATATGAGCTGCTGTTTACATGTGAACATTAGCTCATGACGATACCTAAGTACGTGTGTCGCCTGGACAGTCACCGCTACCATCAGTTGACTGGACAATCTCTTTACATGAGCTGCTGTTTACATGTGAACATTAGCTCATGACGATACCTAAGTACGTGTGTCGCCTGGACAGTCACCGCTACCATCAGTTGGCTGGACAATCTCTTTATATGAGCTGCTGTTTACATGTGAACATTAGCTCATGACGATACCTAAGTACGTGTGTCGCCTGGACAGTCACCGCTACCATCAGTTGACTGGACAATCTCTTTACATGAGCTGCTGTTTACATGTGAACATTAGCTCATGACGATACCTAAGTACGTGTGTCGCCTGGACAGTCACCGCTACCATCAGTTGGCTGGACAATCTCTTTATATGAGCGGTAACTTATTCTTTATTAACTTGTGTTTTATTTACAGTCATAACAACAAAAACGTACATGTTCTGGCCAAATGCGACCGTACCGTTCTATATAATGCCTCAACATTTTGGTGAGTGGCAAATTAAATACTTCATTCATACCTTTTGACCGCCAGAGTCAAGGTAAGATTTAAACAGGAGGGTCAATGACGAGACAAGTCATCGTTGACCCATAAAAAACAATGTCACAGGACCTACCGTATTTTTGTTAGCGTCAGGACCCCTGGACCAAGAAAGATATTTGATGTTTAGAAAATACCAAAATTTACTACCTTTTTGCTACTATTTGATACCGAACTTCAAATATTTAGTACTTCAACTGATAGAGAAAAAACACGTAAAGAAAGTGGTCAGCCATTCTGACATCAGGATGTCTGGACCATTTTTTTTTTCATAGGTCGAGACAACACATGTAATTTATCTCTTTGTAAATATTTACTACCTTTTTAGTACCTCACTGATGTCGGAATACTGAAACGCTACTCGATTTTAATTCGTGCTTAAGTATAGTTCTGTCCTTTATCAAGCTCTGAAGCAGCAAGCTCGCCTAGCCGTCAACATAATTGATGAAATGAGAGAAAACTGTGACCTTTCGGAACAAATTGACGAGATTAAAAAATCTCTCAAGGACTCAACTACAGCCAAGACTGTGTCTTTTGCGGACATGGTAAGAAAAGGATCCGATTTCGTTCGACCAAACAATCTGGCCACTGTCGCTGTGTATCCGGCCAATAAATTGAAAACTAGCGAGGAAACTAAAACTATGGTGCAAACACTTATAAGTCCTAGTGAGATGAAGCTGCACGTGCGTGGAGTCCGCAAGACACAAAACGGAGGTGTAATAATCAGCACTGAGTCGAAACAGGATGCTGAAAAAGTGAAGAATGCAGTTGGCCTGTCGTTATCCGGTCTTCTCGCAGACGAACCTAAGAAGCGCAAACCACGAATCGCAGTTATAGGAGTGCCGTCGACAATGACTGATACTGACGTCTTCAGGTGTATTTATGAACAGAACGTGTCTGACAAGCTCCCGGAGATGACAAAGGAGTCTTTCTTAACATCAGTCAAGTTAAGTCACAAATCGGGAAGAAAGGATGCACCGACCTGCAATTTCATCATCGAAGTTCCAGGCAAGATACGTAAAGCCCTTATATCCCAAGAGAGAATTTACATCAATTGGACTTCTTGCCCCGTCAGAGACTTTACGCTTGTAACGCGATGCTATAATTGCCAACTATATGGACATGCAGCAAAATCATGCAGGGAGATCAACTCATCGTGTGGCCATTGTGGAGAAGCAGGACATGTACAATCCTCGTGCACTAAAAAGTCGGAATCCCCTAAATGTGCTACATGCTCTCGTTACAATAAGCCGAATAACCATAAAACCGGAGACACTGACTGTCCGGCTAGGAAAATAGCTGAATATAGGTACATCAACTCTATCGATTATGAGGACGCGTAAAGTGTCATACTCTCGGATTACAGAGTTGATTAACCTTCCCTTGCACATTAGTTAACATCGTAACAAGTTGGCGTACTCAACAATTTGTTGCTGTTCAAGCGTATTTTATTGTAACACTAAGTGAATGACCGTTTGGACTGTAAACTAGATTATGTTTCTGTTGATGTATCAAATTCTACAATACTATAGTTCCTCCAATGTTTTATATATATATGTATATCTATGTTTTGTATTTAAGCTAATATAATTACTTGTTTAATAAATGTACTTATACGATAATATTAATATTTAGTTGTATGTTGTTTAGTGTGTATGTATGTATGTATGTATATTAAATAATCAACTTTACTTTACTTTGATCGATTACTTATGTTATGGAATTTGTTTATATAAATAACTTGTCCTAGAATTAGTAATTTTGTGAGTGCTCCTTTCGCCTGTGATACAGGATATTTTTCCTAGTACAGGCATTCAAACCTAGTGAGGTCTCTGATTTAAAATTAAGATTTTTATCTGTACTATGACCAATTTCTTATAATGAATAAAGATTTATTATTTATTATTATTTATTATTATTTATTTATTTATCTCTACAAATTCTTTGTAAAATGACAGAGATGGCACGATATTTGAGCACGACTTAAAATTAAGTAATGTTTCAGTATTTCGGCATGAATGGCGCGCGCTAGTGTGCACCTCTCGTTATTAGGGATAGGGAATTAGTTAATATGTGACACCATCGGACGCTCGGAACAATAACTAAAGCAATCGGACGTTAAATATTTGACAGCTGCTGTAATTGGACAAAATAAACATCTTTCTACATTTGCACTATCTACGACTGCCTCGTTGGCCGAGTGGTCGCAAGTGCCATTGTCGCGGCAAGGGGTCTCGGGTTCGATTCCCGAGTCGGACAAAGTACAACTGGGTTTTTAAAAAAATCTCAGCGGTAGCACGGAGTCTGGAATTGTGCCCGGTATATGGCAATAGGCTCCTCACCCCCTATTACATGGGACTCATAACATAAATAGTGAAAAGTGGGTGTTACATTGTACAGTGGCATTAAATGCCGTAATGTGCACGTCTGCCTACCCAAACCACAGAGGGGTTCTTCCTCATGAGCAGCGTGTGTAGTCGCGGCGATATCGCGCAGCCTACAGCCCCCTCTGTGGTTCGAAATTAGTAGAGCTTTTCTCAGTATATTCACGTGAGTAACCCGTGATTTTTAGTTAATTTATGTAAGACCGCAAAAACCGCATCAAAATCCGTTGCGTAGTTTTAAAGATCTAAGCATACATAGGGACAGACAGACGGCGGATAGCGACTTTGTTTTATACTATGTAGTGATGTCGCAGAGAACCTAACGGGTTACCGGGGCTCCGGCTCGAAGTGCAGGAGAAGGAACGGGGTGGTTTTTAGTCAGTAAGTGTCTGACACTCCCTCCCGCCTCAACCAGGCAGGAGAAGTCATTCGATAATTATCCCCCTTAAAGAAAATACTATGTAGTAATGTTATTAAAACTTATTAATTCCTTCTTTTATAGATTTAGAACAAAAATTGGTGATAATGAATGCACTGTCGACATTTGCTTTTCAAACTTGTGTGAAGTTCTTTCCCGTATTGACGATGCCTAAAGAAGAACAACATGTGTTGACGTTCGCTAACCCCGATGGGACCCGAAGATGTATCTTACAGTCGAGCGAACATAGCAACTTCTTGTCTCATGTAAGTATTGAAAACATAACATAACATCACGCCTTTTATTCCCGAAGGGGTAGGCATAGGTGTACATTACGGCACTTAATGTCACTATACATGCCTACCCTTTATGCTTTCGAACCGTTTGGGGTTGAAACTTTAGGGCCGTGGGGCCCAAGTGCACATCTTCTTTACAAAGATATTGTAAGGAGGATGGTTGCCACTTCTGTGATCGAAAGGATGGCAACCTTGGGCAAAGGTTAAGCATTGCCATTCAACGTGGCAATGCTGCCAGTCTTTTGGGCACCTTACCTCACGATAACGATGGGGAAATTTTTATTGATGCCTTTTGGGAACATTTTAATTATGACTTGTTTTAAGGCGTAAATATTTTAGGTTTTTAGTTATTTGTATTTATAATATTACTTTATAAGTGGTATAAAGATTGATAATAGACAAATCACTATAAAATATTAGTAAGTATAGGCATAAGAATAGGTAGTGTCGGTGCATTAGTATGGCCATCGACCATAGAAGCGGGACGAGGGTATAAAAACCCACGGCTGCGCGAGCGCCGCGCATCTTCGTCCACACACGCCGCTAACTCACGCCAAGGCTTTCGGACATTTCTTTGTGTCGGTGCGCAGCCGATCTTGATTCTGATTTGTAATTAAACCTTCTTGATGTGCAGTCTTCTGTTTTAATTTAAAATAACCCGACAGAGCTACGACAGGCAGTATATATAGATAATTTGTCTTTATCTCCCCCCAGCGTGTGATAGTAGGGTACGAGTGTCTAAAGTCCCCAGAGATTGAGATGATCATCATGAGAGCGTTGGGCCTCCCCTTCGAACATACCCGGATGAGTAGAGACGTCTACATCGACGTGCTGCTTGAAAATGTCGAACCACGTAAGTTTTACCATTTAGTTTTAAACCTAGGAAGGAAAAAGAAAAAGAAGATAGAAAAACAATTTATTTGTCACTAGCGATCCACCTCGGCTTCGCACGGGTGCAATATGCATGTATTATATGTATGTACACTAGCGGACCCAACAGACGTTGTCCTGCATATCCACTTGAATGTATAAACAAAAATTCATTCAAATTAGTTCAGCTGTTTAGGATAAGTAACCTACACATCGGCTGCAGCGCCATCTGCCGGGCTGATTTGTGAATCTAAACCATTCCCAGATCCCCTTGAACACACACAAAAAATTTCATCAAAATCGGTCCAGTCGTTTGAGACAAATTCAGTGACATACACACTCACAGAAGAATTATATATATAAAGATATAAACTAAGTAATCTGTACAATTGTTAATGCTAGGACCGTGCGAGATTTTGCCTCGCCATTTCTTTTCTAATTACCCATATTCTGACAGTTTGAGTATTTGTGCGACCCCCGGAAATGTTCTTAAGGTTGGTATTGTTCGTCGAATCAGTCAGCCTCACCTGCTAATTGAGCTGATTGTAAACCGACACATGCGTACTGCCTTTAGAACGGGTCCGCTCAAGCTGTTGTGGTTCTTTCCTCAAAACGCCACTACAGAAAGAACTTGCACGGTTCTCACACATAGAATCTTTTACACACATTTGTCTGGACTTTAAAAGAGACGGACCTCTGAGTTTGTTTCGGCATTTCTTCTCAGAGTAGTCAGTTAGGAAATGTCGACCTCATCGTTCGCTTGATAAAATTGACGTGTAAAAGTGCTGCCTTGTAGCCTATTTGCAGAAATAAATTCACTTGTTTCACTAACGTCCAGTTTCTATAACCTATCTATCTGTAGATTTGCTTACTAGAGATAGAATTTTGACACAAGCTTCATACAAAATGTGTCAAAATTCTATCTCTAGTAAGCAAATCTACAGATAGATAGGTTATAGAAACTGGACGTAATTGGATTGTTTTGTCATTGGATGATTTTCTCCTATGAAAAACTATTCCTGATTCTTACTGACTAGAAACAACAACTGCATCGGTTTTACAAAAACTGGTTTAAATTGGTTTTAAATTAAACATGCACCTCTGTCTATTGAGATAAACTAAATATACCTAGATAAATAAGTAACAAAGTTCATTAATGCAATCGTTATTTGTCACAAAAACAATGCCAGCTGCACTATAATCAACTTCTTTAATAAATAATGAAGAAATTTAAACAAATACAGTAAACGATAAGACGGCACCTATGTATCAGAGTGTATTTAATATATTTATATCTGTACAAAACATGATAATGCTATCTTTAGACAAATAATTTGTAATATACGAATATTTTTAAAATCTGTCTGTACGTTCAAACCACGTTTATCTTAAAAGGTTTTTTATGAGATACTAGCTTTTACCCGCGGCTTCGCTCGCGTCACAAAAGGATAAAAAGTAGCCTATGTGACGTTAATTAGTATCCGTTCTGCCGTTTAAGATAAGCAAACAAACAATTAGCTTTCCGCTCGCGTGAAATTCGGTTATATTTTTAGATTTTTCCAATTAGTAGGACATACGTTGACTTGTTTTAGATGACATACGGCGCCATCTATACCAATACACACAGCGCCATCTATACCAATATTTTTGTTTTCCCTCGGGAATATCAAATTTTTCCAGGATAAAAAGTACTCTATTCTTTAATCCGGACTTCTAACTTTGTCTGCAAATTTTAAAAGCAATTGGTTCAGCAGTTACGGCGTGAAAGCAGAACAAACAAACAAACACACATTCCGATTTATAATATTAGTAAGGATAAGTAATCGGCGTCGCCCATGGACACCCTGGAACGCCAGATGCATTCCTAGTGTGTTACCTTTTGAGCATTATAAAACTGAAGTTTGTTAGTGAAGTTACCGGAGGCCTAATTATCCCCTCTTCCCCAGTCTGTCCAATCCCTGAATCCCTAACAATCCTCAACTCCTAATCCCCAAAAGGCCGGTAACGCACTCGTAACGCCTCTGGTGTTCCGGGTGTCCATGGGCGACACCGATTGCTTACCATCGGAATCGAATCCACTGTAACTGTGCAGTCGAGGTATGGGGAGAGGCGTTCATTAGATGCGAATGCGACACCAATTTTTCACCAGTTATGAGTCCCATGTAAGACTTATGACGGACGAGTCTACATATCTGAAAACATTCTATAACTACATCCTGCCGGCGACTTCGCCCTCATCCCCGTTTGATAAAAAGTAGTCGACGAGTTATTTCAGACGATATGATATTACGGATGCAATGGGCGCTAGTGTTGCAACTCGAGAGTACGAAATTTCACAACACCAATGTCGATCGATCGGAATTGGATTCCAGAGTAAGCCCCTAGGGAATCGGAATCAGAGACCTTTGCATAGTGTCAGTTTCGACCACTCACTAAACGATAGGAACGATGAAATCAAGCAAACACATTAATAATTTAAAATTACACCCAACCAAACCCACGAACAAAAGCGAAGCCAAACAAATAAGTAAGCAAGATAAAAAAATACATAATACCCGTGATAAAACCGCAAATAATATTATCAGTACAGCGACAACTTCAGTGCTGACAAGATGTCTGGTCCAGACTTCAAATTATATTCAAACGTTTTCATTGAAACGAATATACAGTGCATAGATTACGACGCTGTTATTCTTATTTTGTATCCGGAAGATCTTAATGTACCATTACCAAGACACATCGGCAGTTTCATAGAAAAAATCTCCAAAGTCGACAAGCATATACACAAGGCTGCTACAGTTTGGAATTGTGATTACGTTTCTGGAGGCAGACTAGTGCTATCTCCAACTGGAAAAATCTCACCATACCATGATGCTAAGGTAGTCAGAGATGCTGCTTTTAAAGGTATGATAAGGGCTCTCGAAGCCGGAGCTAAGAAACCGCTGCTCGTAGTACAAAATGTCGTTAACTTCCCCGACGGGCAGTTAGTTTGTATACTCGGAGCGCTAGAAGCTCTGTATACTCCTTTACAAATCAGAGAAAGAGATGCAACGAACAATTTCCTAAGAATCGGCTTTCATTCTGAAGAGAGATTGAGCGAGAGTTTTGAGAAAACAGTCCGCAATGCCCTTGCTTTGGAAAAATCTAGAATTTTAACTAGAGACATCGCTGGATCCGATCCTGAACGAATGACTCCTGCTAACATTGTCAACTATGTCAAATCTAATTTTGAAACTGACAGCAATATAACAATAAAAATAATTGATGACCAAGAAACCATTGCAGAAGAATATCCTTTACTAGCTGCGGTTGCTAGAGCATCTTCTCAAATAGAGAGACATAAGCCAAGAGTGGTTGTACTTGAATACAAGCCTTCAGACGTTGCCAGAGTAACTCAAACCTTAATACTAGTGGGCAAAGGTGTTACTTACGACACCGGCGGCGCAGATTTGAAGATCTCTGGAAAAATGGCAGGCATGTGCAGAGACAAAGGCGGTGCCGCAGCTGTAGCAGGCTTCCTTAAAGCCTGTTCTTTGCTGAAACCACCACACCTGAAGGTTAAAGGCGTTCTCTGTCTATGCAGAAACTCCATCGGCGAAGATTCCTACGTTCCAGATGAATTATTGATATCTAAAAGTGGTAAAACCGTTAGAGTGACAAATACTGATGCAGAAGGCAGATTCGCGATGGCAGACGCGTTGTTCAAAATGGGTGTTTTAGCTGAAAACGAACTAAATCCGCATTTATATACGATCGCAACTTTGACTGGACATGCGAGGCTCTGCTACGGTAATTATACAGCGGCGTTAGACAACTACAGCGCCAGAGGGACGAACCATGCAACTTCTTTGCAATTTAGCGGTTCCAGAGTAGGTGAAGGTTTTGAAGTGTCATTCATACGGCCTGAGGATTTAGCTGTTAACAATGGGAAATGCAAAGGGGATGATTTGATTCAAGTTGACATGGACGCAAAATGTCGTCATCATCAGCTGGCTGGAGGCTTTTTAATAAAAGTAGGTGGGCTAGAAGATAAAAATATTAAGTATACACACTTGGACATCGCTGGTGCAGCTGGAACGGCTCCTTCTGAACCAACTGCTGTTCCAATTTTAACATTGTGCCATGTTCATAAAGTTTTAATGTGATTTTTTTTATTATTGTTTGGTTTACGTTTTTCTTTTTTTTTCTTGTATTATGGCGGCTCTTTGGATTTAAAAATATGATGTTATTTAATTTAGTTTATAATCTATGTATTTGCGAAATTGTGTCAAAATCAATCGAGTAGTTTTTGAGATTTTTAAATAAGTAAGTACAAAGCAATATTTTTCGAAAGCATTTTTTTTTTTGTGAATTAGATTCTAAGCGTTTTTTTTTATATTTTGTTATAGGTATGGGTAGAAACAGTCTGTTTTGGAGTACATTGTTATCAAAGTAGATCGAGATAGCTAACATACCTACTTGTAATTAATTACATTGTAGATATAAAGATAATGTTTTTTATAAACTATGCGTAATAAAATTATCATAACATAAACACATTTTTTTATTTTATTTATCTAGGGCAATAAACAGCAGTATATTGAATACAATACATGAATAATTCACAAGGACCACTTATTCTATAGTGTGTAAGGAAATATAGTTTGCAGTTAAAATTTTGATAAGTTTGTAGTTAAATATAGTTCATGGTTAATAGTTTAGGAAACATATTTTAATTTACTATGTCGAATTAGGTTAAGTTATCTGTAATGGCAAAGTAATTGTATTAAATAAATAAATAATTAAAATATAGATTTAACAAATACACGCCTCATGACGTTGCCACAGATTACCATAGATCTATTTACCTAGCTTTTACTGATTAAATTAAAAACATTGGTCAGGCACGGTATTTTCTTAATTTTTAACTTTCTTACTACATTTTTTTTAAAGAAAAAATATCAAAATGATATTAGGCTGACAATCACAAAAAATTGTTGTCTACGTATTTATACTAAATCAATGACGTTGACGTTTCACTATAAATACGCTATTTTAATATATAATAAGATTATGTACATACATACTTACTGTATTAACATGTCAAAAGCCTATAAATAAACATAATAGTAATATAATAAATTCTATAAATACATATTACTTTATTGAGTACTTGTAATAATTACTGCTTACATGTGAACATTAGCTCATGACGATACCTAAGTACGTGTGTCGCCTGGACAGTCACCGCTACCATCAGTTGACTGGACAATCTCTTTACATGAGCTGTTTACATAAAATCGTTGCTAAGGGATTAATAAGGGGTCAATGCCTACGGATTTGATAATATTTTTATCTTTAATTGATATTTAAAATTTAATCTTTGGTTAAAGATAATAATGCAGAGGTAGTGTTATCTATATCAAGCCACACAAAATACAATATTTATGTAAATTTACCGCTGCCGCTATGATCAAAGTATTTATCATTATTAAATGGTAACTTAACCTAGTCCTTGGTAATCAATGGGCCTCGCTCACACGACGAAACACAACGCAAACGTTGCTTCACGTCAGTTATCTGCTCGGCCGTGGTATCACTCCGGTCGAGCCGGCCCATTCGTGCCGAAGCATGGCTCTGTCACACTTAAACTCTTAAAATATGAACCGTGATTTTTTTTATGGCATAAGCCGGTAAACGATCAGACGGATCACCTGATGGTAAGCAATCGGCGTCGCCCATGGACACCTGGAACACCAGAGGCGTTACAAGTGTGTTACCGGCCTTTTGGGGATTAGGAGGCGTAGGATCATTGAGGATTCAGGAATTGGGGAGATTGGGGAAGGGGGTAATTGGGCCTCCGGTAACCTCACTCACATGACGAAACACAACGCAAGCCATGTTTCACTATGGTTTTCTGCTCGGCCGTGGTATCACTCCGGTCGAGCCGGCCGATTCGTGCCGAAGTATGGCTCTCCAACACCTGTGTGTGAAAGAAGCGTATTGCTAAGCACCAATCTCGAGAAATCTCCAAATGGATTCAGCTAGAACCGATTTGGCTAATCATTATTTTGTTGGGATAGGTCTTCTACGTGCTTATGTTAGAAAAAAATACAAACGTGCGCAGAATTGATTCCAGGGCGAAACGAAGTTCGCGGGGTCCATTATTATACAAGACATAACACGCCTTTTATCCCCGAAGGGGTAGGCAGAGGTGTAGTTTATGCCACTGTACAATGTAACACCAACACCACCACACACCCCCTATTGCATGGGACTCATAACATGAATAGTGAAAAGTGGGTGTTACATTGTACACTGGCATTAAGTGCCATAGGTGATGTGCACCTTTACCCAATCGGGGACAAAAGGCGTGACGTTATGTGCTTTTAAAGCTAATATGACTTAAATTAATCTGTCATCAGATGCCGTGCAGCTGTTCGCAAGAGACAATGTACTACCACCAGTGATGCGAGCATTACCGTATGACATCAATAGTGTCATGCACTTCGGGGAAAGAGATTACAGCAAGAATGGACATCGGACCATCATATTTAAGGTTACTATGGTTTTTTATTTAAATATCATAATTTATATAACTACATAAATATTTACAATTTAAAATTAACTACAACTAAACTATTAAATAAAATGAAAGTAAAAAAAGAAAACAACAAAAATTATACCCTTAATTTAGGCGTCAAAGTATTCGTCCGCATCACTATCACAGGGGAACGTTCCCAGAAGACTGGCAGCATTGCCACGTTGAATGGCAATGCTTATTTTCTGTCCGAAGAAAAAGCCAGCCCTCTGGTCACGTGTAGAGTCGATTAGCCTACGGGCGATGCCTTTAAACACAGAGTGTGCACTGGGACCCCATGGCCCAAGTGTTTCGACCCCAAACGGCTCAAAACGATAATTTAAGGTTAATTATCTAATTTATAAAACCTTCAAGAAAAGAGCGTATTCCTTTTTAAAAGGCCGGCAACGCAACTGTGACTCCTCTGGTGTTCCGGGTGTCCATGGGCGGCGCTGATCGCTTACCATCAGGTGATCCGTCTGCTCGTTTGCCTCCTATTCCATAAAAAAATATATATCGTCATTAACCTTCAAAGTGCCATGTCTATCTCCAGTGTCTAAAGGTAGTAGAAGTTTGACTTTCTCCACTTTAAACTTAAGCATCACTTTCATAAATGTCGATTGTGTCTCGGAGTTTCAAGACGCCCGTTTCTCACGCATTAGGGTTTAAAAAATCGAAACCTACCAACGACAACGACATGTACCAATGTGACTTTTTCCGAGTTATATGTACTTTCTAAGATTATTTTTATTTAGACACCACTGCCAAACGGTGAGGAAAACATCGTGAGGAAAACTGGGCTTATAATTTCTAATTAGAAGTTTGAAATCTCTAACTCGCATTGAGCAAGCGTGGTGATTAATGCTCGAACCTTCCGAAACCTAAAGTGTTAATCGGAATACTTTTTTACATGCTTGGTATTAGGGCGACTTTTAACGAAGTATGTGATCAAAACTAAGAATCTGAATTACACACACTTCTAACTGTTGTATCACCATGAAACTTGGTAATTGTATGTAGATTAGATGACAGTACAATATTATGGTACCATCGAGCTGGTCTGATGATGGAATTAGAAAATGGGTGAAGGAATCTTGGACCGTCTACTGATAAACATATATCGAGTTTGGCCACTTTAGTTATAAAAATAAAAATGCTATATTAAAGCATCAAAAAATTTTTCCTCATCGCTATCGTGAGGTAGGGTGCCCAAAAGACTAGCAGCATTGCTACGTTGAATGGCAATGCTTAACCTTTACCCAATTTAGTAGACAGCCCTTCGATCACCTGCAGTGTCAACCATCCTCCTTACAATATCTTTGTAAAGAAGATGTGCACTTGGGCCCCACAATGTGCACTTTAGTTTGGTGAATTTCTCCTAATAAGGACTAAGATAAAAGCGGGTTTCTAGTTTATTTTTAACTTAAATTGTTATTATCCATCTAGCGGCTTCCTACGACCTTCATCACTTAATCCATCGCGATCCCAAATATGAACACAACACCACCCAATATTAACCTTCAAAAAATCTACTTTCAGAATCACAACATACACCAAAACCGCGTCGGTCTAACAGCTAACGATTTACGTAAAATAGAACTCGTTTACGGTCCAGAATGCCGCAATAGAGATCGTCAAGAAAAATTCGAACTCTGCCAATCATACCCAGGCGTTGTAAGACGGAAGAGAGACATTGAAGCTACTGAACCTCCAGCGAATAAGAGCTTGAGAGTAAATAGGAATATCACACCACCTCCTGCCATAGTCCAGTTAGCCGAAGCCACACCACTCAATGAAACCCAAGCAGACAATACTACACATGCAGAAACTGATGGAGCTGATTACATTTCAAAAAGTCTCAACTCTTTAGGCATTGCTAATGAAACTGAGGACATTATAGAAAAAGTCTACAAAGTATCTGCACTAGCTTTGAAGAACGCTAGAGATAAATACTGTAATACGACTGGAAATAATTCTGATATAGTTACACCAGTTGCTAGTACTGAAAGAAAGAAGAAATTTAATACGACAGATATCTTAGGAGTACTTGAAGTTATAGCTGATTATGCCAAATCTATGGTCGATCATGCAATACAGAATCTAACGACCTTTTGTGAGAGTTCTAAATCAATTGAAGAATACCAAAGGCAGTGCTCGTTCGGTGATAAATCCAGGTGCCCCAAAAGTTATCGGTCTACCAAATCAGGTGCTGTTAAATATAGTACGCAACACAGACCGATTTATAAACAGCAGACTAGACATGACGGCAGTCCTGTTAAAGGATCCTATAATAAATTCAGAAGGATTGATGATACTGAAACTACAACTCCTTCTGTAAAACCAAGACGGAAGAGAGAAGTGTCTACTACTCCCGCAGAAGTCGCTAAAGACCAAAAAGTTAAAGAAATTAAATTAAAAGATAAAGTGAAAATAAAGGATACTGCTTCAACAAAATCGGAAAAGAAAAGCAGTGTAGCAAAGACTAAGAAAGAAGATAAAAAAGAGGTTAAGAAAGTGAATGCTGATAAAAATAAAGAGGATGAGAAAAAACCAAGGAGATTTTTCGAAGAAAGTCGGTTTCAGTAAGTTGGGTTTCTCTTTTTTTTTTTAAATATGGGAATTTATCAAATGACTTCTTCCGCCGTGGGTGATGTGAGAAGGAGTGCTCTGGCACTGGCACTGGTGACGTTTGGTCAGTAAGAGTCACATTTATACTTCTGCATAAAGCTGGAGCCACGATGACCTACTAGGTTGTCCACAGCCCCGATTTTTAATATCATTAACTTTATCACTATTTTATTGTATAAACTAAAAGACCACAAAAAGACTATGATCGGCACTGTCATAGTCTCCGTACTTGACTGGCGATTAAGGAAGTGTGAAACGAATTACTTCTTTACTATACTTCTCAGTCTTCTGACAGATACGTACTTTCTACATTTTATGTAAACTTTCACATTAATGTGCGGAGTTTAATAAGAGATGGCACCACATGTATATTAAATGTCAAAAATTCAAGTGAGCGATATTGTCGATTGTGGCCACAGACCAACTATCATGATTAACGAACTATAGTGGGTTCGAGTCCGTTGTTAGTGTTTGGAGTAGCTTATTTTTTCGAAACTTATTCACAGTATCAGAAGAATGTAAATGTCGAACTTAGGGGCTGTATTTATTAAGTCAGTTAAATCAACTTTAAGTATCTAATATTAAATTATCTCATTTCGCAGGTTCCAGAACTAGACTGATTTGAAAACCCCTAAATGTCAATGAAGATAATATATATTTCTGAATAAACAACATTATATATTTTTGTTCCTTTAAATAAATAAATAAATTAAATATATACAAAAAATATTTGTTTTTATTTCCATTTACTATTTGGGGGTTTTCAATCACTAAAATATTATGCCAGTTATAACAGGGTCTTGGGTGTTTTTTTATGGCATAAGCCGGTAAACGAGCAGACGGGTCATCTGATGGTAAGCAATCGACGTCGCCCATGGACACCTGGAACACCAGAGGCATTACAAGTGCGTTACCGGCCTTTTGGGATTAGGAACTTGAGAATTGTTGGGGATTCAGGGATTGGCGAAGGAATTAAGCCGATAACCTCACTCACATGACGAAGCACAACGCAAGCGTTGTTTCACGTCGGTCTTCTTTGAGGCCGTGGTATGACTCCGGTCGAACCGGGCCATTCATGCCGAAGCATGGCTTTTCCACACACAATTTAGATTGATTCCCGAGCTGGGTAAAATATTACTTGAATAAAAATTCGCACAATTTGTAGGGTAACATAAGGCTATATTACCGCGCGAATGCGTGTCTGTTTATTTATCTGTCACGTCGCATCTAGGAGCTTTTTTAGTACATTTTTTACATCTGGAGATAGTTAGAAGTCTGGAAAGTGATACAGCACATGTATTGTATCGTATACTTTCAGAGGAAAAAGTCCAGTAGAGGGTTTAGGTGAAGAGTGGGAAGATTCGAATGTATCTCTGGATCTGGACAAAGCCGGCGGTACAATTGTCAGACTGAATGCTCAGAGAGAACCAGGTAACTACTATATAACATTATGACTATTACATACCGAAGGAGTAAGTAGAAGTGTTCATACGGCTACATTTTGAGATATACAAAACCACTGTAAATTGATCGTCCGAATTATTGTATTTTGTATCATAACATAACATAACACGACAATGTAACACCCACTTTTCACTATTTATGTTATGAGTCTCATGTAATGGGATGAGCCTATTGCCATATACCGGGCACATTTCCAGACTCCGTGCTACTACTGAGATTTTACTTTGCCCGACCCGGGAATCAAACCCGAGACCCCTTGCCCGGCAGTCGCACTTGCGACCACTCGGCCAACGAGGCAGTCTTTTGAATTACTTCTAAATTTTTGTTTTGACGTTCAAAAGTGCTTTCCTGGTCTAATTGAAATAAATGATTTTGACTTTGACTTTGAATCAAGTTATTCAACACCACTATAAACTGACCGGTGAATGCGCAGAAAGATATTAAACAGCAAGACCAGAATATAATGGTTTGTTAGATCCATAATGTATTCATGTCAGGCATGTAGGTGTACTTACAAAAGAAAACATTCTAATTATGCTGTTTCTAAGTCTGGATAAAAATGGTTTACGATACCGTAATAATAATTAAATGAATGAAAAATTCAATATTGTACTATATTATTTTTTATAAGATAAGCCGGTAAACGAGCAGATGGATCACCTGATGGTTAGCAATCGGCGTCGCCCATGGACACCTGGAACACTAGTGGCGTAACAAGTGCGTTGCCAGCCTTAAAGGGATTAGGAATTTGAGGAATCCCCTACAAATCAGGGATTGGGGTTGGGCCACCGGTAACCTCATTCACACGACGAAATACAACGCAAGCGTTGTTCCACGTCGGTTTTTAGTGAGGTCGTATCACTCCGATCGAGCCAGCCCACATTATTCATGGCACACTTAAAGTTTGACTATTCATGTTTAAAATTTCAGTAAGGAAATAAATAAATAAAAGATATGTATTATAAAAGATAGGAAACATATTAACTTGCACACAGCTTGGCAAAAAAGAGGTCGCTAGTATCGTAACTGTAGCAACCTGGTACACTACGACTCAACCGGTTTTGATATTTGTTATTTTTATCGAGTTTAAAAAGAGGAGGTACTATGTTCGGATGATTGTTTATTCATGGGATGTGGTCCGAAGTGGGTGATTCAGTCTAAGTCAATATTAGTTGCAGCTGTCACCGCGTCAAACTCTTTCTTGCCAAGTCGTAATATCCACATTTCCAGACTTCATACCTGGAGATCTTTAACTTATTGGAAAGACCTTGTTGAAAATATGGTTAATAAATATCAGTACATTTTATCAATAAGGGTATTGAACTCGAAACCTAACATTGATAACCAACTCCTCCAGTCCTTCTTGATCCGATTTCTTCATTCGTCTGACCACCTTCCTGCATCACCTTCTCATGTATGACTTTCCTCCATCCATATCTGTATCTGGCAGTATGGAAGGCGTTGTGGATAGTCGAATCAAGTGTGGTGCAGCTCAGTCCACCGTGTCGAGCTTCAACCATAAGGATTTTTCTCATCCACTCTTCCGGATACAATGAGTCTCTCTAAGTTGTTTCTATATTTTAATTAAATAACTATACATTTCAAAGCGGGCATTGATAACGCAGAAAAAGAAACGGAATCGGAAGCCGACAAAGTTATAGACAAAGAAGATTTAGTAAAAGAAGTATTAAACGAAGGACTAGACTCCATCTTGGGTGGCAATAACGATGAAAAGGACAACAATCAACCAACAGCCTTAGAAGATAATGAAGGAGATGAAGAAGATGAGGTGGATGGAGATGATGCTGGAGAAAAAGATAATGAAGGGACAATAGAAGAGGATGAATCGCAGAAGGAAAAATCTGACAAGGAAGAAATTTTGGATGTTGAAAAGAGTGAGGAGAAGTTGGTAGAAGAAGTTAAAGAAGAGATCACGGATGAAAAGCCGAAGATAGAGAAAGATATAACCGATGTTGCGGCGATGTCTGTTCATAATGATATTCATGATAAGTACGTATTTTTAGCTAGCAAGCTGAACATTAAATGTGCGGAAAGATGATGCGACGCGACACCAGGATAAACTGGTTTTGTATAGATTGATGTGTGGCCGTGTGTACAATGTAACACCCACTTTTAACTATTTATGTTATAAATCCCTTGTAATAGGGGGTGAGCCTATTGCCATATACTGGGCACAGTTACAGACTCCGTGCTACTACTGAGATTTTTTTTAAACTCAGTAATACATTGCCTGACCCGGGAATCGAACCCGAGACCCCTTGTCCGGCAATAGCACTTGCGACCACTCGGCCAACGAGGCAGTCTAATTAATATGTAATACATAGTTTGATAATTATGAAGGTAGATGCCTAATTTTTATATTTATTTCCAACTGGTAGATTATTTTAAATCATTAGGACACGTAGGGTGAACTCATCTAACTTCGTGACAAAGGCATTTGAGTAATAAAATACCAATAAATTATTAATTAATTTAATTCAGTCTCCGCATGAGTTTTAATCAGTCTTTTATGAGGAATATTAGCACAAATAATCAGATTTTTTTCTAGAAACCTAAGAGTTCTACCAAATTTACTAAACCGAATTATTAGGCGAGTGAACTCATCTAATTCTGTGACTCTATTATTTTCTTACAGAATCGAATACTTTCGTCGATATATTGATTTGAAATGTCACGTGATGTCACTTCTATGTGATGGACATATTATACGTAGAAATAACGTTTTACCCCCACTCCTAAACTTTGATTAATTTTATCTAAGTATCGTTTTATTATACGACAAAATAAAAAACACGTGTCTAATATTTTTTCATTACCTAACTGACGGACTAATTAGATTTATAATTTTCATACCCTATCATCATCCCTATTATAATGTAGTACATATTACAGATACAAGACAAAAAATAAAGAAAAGAAAGTCGTGAAAGAGAAAGCACGATCAAGAAAACGAAAAAGGTCACATGGTGACTTGCCAGAAACTGTGAAACTGAATAAATTGAACAAGGAATTTTATAATGAAAGGAGATGGCCTGATGGTGTTGTGAGATACGTAATCAAGAAATTACCTGGTTGTAAGTAGCAATATATTTATTTCACATAACATCACGCCTTTTATCCCCGAAGGCAGAGGTGCACATTATGCCACTGTACAATGTAACACCCACTTTTCACTATTTATGTTATGAGGCCCATGTAATAGGTGGTGAGCCTATTGCCATATACCGGGCACAATTCCAGACTCCGTGCTACTACTGAGAATTAAAAGCCCAGTAATACTTTTAACATTAACAAAAATGAACATTAAAACAACAGTAACAGGGTTTCCTATTACAATAAAGATACAATACAACGCTTAAGAATAAACTAAAATGAAAATATCAATAAAGGTATAGTGACAGTGATTCGGATAAATTCCATTATTTGACAGTGGACCGCCCGATCTAGGTTAATTTGAACCTGTGTATTAGGACATCACTATTGCGTGCACGTTACAAACAAAAAGATTTTGTTTATTTCATGTAATTGATCTTTGAATCGGAGAAACCAGAATCAGTGCGGTATTAATTCTTAAATTCATTTGACTACACATTGATATATGACATTAACAACAATATAGTATTAAGATTAACGCCATCTATCTTTTGAATCTCGCAACATTCAAACTAAGCCCGAAATCTACTTTTGTTTAAATGTCAATTCTTAAATATGCAAGCAAACTAAGTGAGTGCCTAGTGCGCCAGGTTATTAAGGGGCACCGGAACGCGGGCAAACGTCGAGAGACGCGCGTACGACAGCGTGAGGGCCGCGCCAAAAAAATTAGGGGCGCCTTTGCCTAGAGCGCTTTCCATGTTTAATCCGTTTCTGCCTCTTCTCACACGAAGAAGGTTTGAGCATTAACAACCACATTTGCTCAATGCAGGTTGGCGATTTTAACTTATAATTAGTAATTTGAAGAACATAATTTGAATTTGAATTGGTAATTACAAGGTACTCCCGGTGAGGGAGCACCTTTAGTATGTTTCTTATTATTTACTAGCGACCCGCCCTGATTCGCACGGGTGCAATATGCATGTATTATACATATAAACCTTCCTTAACAATCACTCTATCTACTAAAAAAACCGCATCAAAATCCGTTGCGTAGTTTTAAAGATCTGTTGAGACACGGGTTCGGGTTGTAATTAAAAGATACGACAAAGTTCCACTCCATATAATAACCAAAAAATACTTAGGCTAATTACAATGTGCGCGACCCACTCGCAACCCGACAAGCCCGTGACTGCCCTACGTTGCATAAATGCAACGTTGCAAAACCTATGCGGTGCATTGTCGTCGCTACAGATCTAAGCATACATAGGGACAGACAGACGGGGACGACTTGTGTTTTATACTATGTAGTGATAGTGATTTTTCTTCCACAGATGATTTAGAAGATCTTCGCAATAGACTGGCTGAAGTTAACAACATATTAGTTAGAAAAACATGTGTCAAGTTGGTCGAAGTGGACGCCAAGGAGGCTAGAGGATATGACGACTATTTGGTGCTGGATAATAGTCCTGATTATGTGACTGGCAGAGTTGGAGGGAAACAGGTGAGTGAGACATTACTATAATTATATTAACTACTAGCAGCCCGTCCCGGCTTCGCACGGGGTAGACAATTATTTATTTTTGGAAATTTGCATTGTTGTAGTGACATAACTACAATAGTTGGACATATGCTACATCGGAGTTTTTTGTAGACATTATGATGTTCTTCAATATTGTTGTACATTATTTTGTTCTATCGCTAATAGTTTAACGAATGGAGTTTCTTGCTCGTTCTTCTCCATTCGAATCTACTTTTTGGAATGAGCACCTAGCTTCACCTAGTTTCAATGACGGACTGACTGACAGACTATTATTTATTTTGTATTTGTTGACGTTTCAAAAGTACCAAACTATGGTTTAATTGAAATAAATGCTTTGACTTTGACTTTGACTAAAATTGTGAAGTTGTAAGTAAAAATAACAAAAAAAGTATACCTAAAGTTTATCTACCTGCAAAGTTTGTTCTGTCCGTCAGGTAGATGGAAAAATATTTGAGTTTTTTACTTTGTAGACACGTTATTAAGAACTATTTTTTCAATCATCAGTTGATTTTAAACATAACATAGCATAACATAACATCACGCCTTTTATCCCCGAAAGAGTAGGCAGGGGTGCACATTACGGCACTTAATGCCACTGTACAATGTAACACCCACTTTTCACTATTTATGTTATGAGTCCCATGTACCTATTACATGGGACTCATATCGGTGAGCCTATTGCCATATACCGGGCACATATCCAGACTCCGTGCTACTACTTACTGAGAATTTTTAAATTTTATTATATTTAATATTTTTTATTTATTTACACACTTTATCGTACACCATAAAAAATACAAAGAAAAATAAACATAAAAAGAATGTGTACAATGGGCGGTCTTATCGCAGAATGCGATTTCTTACAGACAACATTTGGATTGAGCCAGTAATCAAAGGTTGGAAAAAGGGCCAATACCTATAGATAGGAACTTAAATAACAAGCAAAGATAACAAATAAATATTTACACTTATAAACTAAAACTAAAATGAAAAACAATGAATAAAAATTGAAGAAAAGAAACTAAAAACAAATACCCTCAATGCGGTAATTATTTTACAATTGTGTGTATAATATTTTCTTAACAAAGTTATTCTCCAACACTACTTGCCCAATAAAGTAAATTTGAATGTATTTATTTTGTTAAGAACATTGCTTCTTGACAATGAAGTGCCCGCTGCTGACCAAAGCCCTCTCACACGGAGAAGGTTCCAGCATTAATCACCACGCTTGCTCAATGCGGGTTGGCGATTACAAACTTAGGTATGATTAGAAATTATGAAGTCCAGATTTCCTCACGATGTTTTCCTTCACCGTTTGTACTGACAAACGGTGAAGGAAAACATCTGTGGTGTCTAGATAATCTTAGAAAGTAAATATAACTCGAAAAAAGTTACATTGGTACTTGCTGTTGGTACGAACCTGGTTCGAAAGTTCATGCGTGAACGGGCGTCTTAAATCTCCAGGCAACCACGGCTCTAATATAAATACAATTCAGTCAAAGTCAATACTTAGCATTAAACTGTCAAACACCGCGAGGACACCGGTGACCGCAACCTATTATTCTTTAATTGTGTCTATAATGACGGTACTCAATGGGTTCACAAGTTTTATATTCTACTACCTTCTATTAGCGATGGTATGCACACAAATAAGTGATTCCCGTTTTTCTCGTCCCCGTGGGATTATAGGGATATATTAATAATAATTATATCGTTTATTTCTCAATAGGTATATAGTGCACACAGATCTTAACAATACAGCAGTTTCACATACACAATCGTCTCCGGTGTAGTAATAATAATAATAGCATTACATTTCATATTTTACCAAAAACACTGAGTTTATATAGTACTATCTAGTTTATTAAATATCTGGACCACCTACTTTATAATATGTCATTGATTTTTATAAATGTCGATAGTTAGAAGTCTTAAGTAATTAAGTAGGTAGGTAGTTACTCACAATGCAAGATGTCAAGGAATTCAATTATTAGATACAATAGTCATAATAATAAAATGTCGAAATACAAGCACAATTCATCTCCCCTTAATGCATTTTAAGGGGGAAAATCATACAAATGACTGCTCCCGCCCGGGTGAGGCGAGAGGGAGTGTCAGACTCTTACCGACTAAAAGTCAAAGCATTTATTTCAATTAAACCATAATTAGGTAATTTTGAAACGTTAACAAATACAAAATAAATAATAGTCTGTCAGTGAAGCTAGGTGAAGCTAGCTAAATAAAAACCACCCCGTTCCTACTCCTGCACTTCGAGCCGGAGCCCCGGTGACCCGTTAAGTCTTCCGCGGCTCCGTATCGGCATCAGCTCTATTGGGCCCCATCTGTCTGATGGCTCCTTGAGGCTCTTAGTGCATCCCTTCACTGCCCAAGAAACATACTTGTTAAATTTCAGCTTCCTAGGTGCAGTAGACTATGCATCATCTGTCAGTCAGGCCCAACTTCTTGAGTATCTGTCATTTGTTTTATTAACGCCTTTATAACTTCAATTTTTTTGACGATTTTCTCAAACTTAACATAAACGCGACAAAAAAAAAAGAATCAGTGAAATTACGATTCATTTTTAATTATAAATACCAAGTGTTTTTTACAAATCATTCTGCGGTTGTGTGGACTTAACGTAATTTTAATCAAATCAATTTATGAGTATTTTTAACTATAAACATAACTAAAGCAAAACTAATTTATCTTACATACGTAGGTAGCATAAGAATGAGATTAATAATCTATATATATAAAAGAAAGTCGTGTTAGTTACACCACTTATAACTCAAGAACGGCAGAATAGATTTGGCTGAAAATTGGTAAGGAGGTAGCTTAGAGCCAGGAGACCGACATAGGATACTTTTTACCAAATTTTTTTTTTACTTTTTACCGAAAATCACGAACGGGGACGGGGAAAATGGGATTACGCGTACGAAGTCGCGGGAAGAAGCTAGTTTATTATAAACTATTGTATAAAGCGGAAGAGTTTGTTTTTTAGTTTGTTTGTTTGAACGCCCTAATCTCCGAAACTACCAGTCCGATTTGAAAAATTCTTTCTGTTTTGGATAGCCTATTTATCGAGGAAGGCTATAGGCTATAAAACATCACGCTGCGACCAATAGAAGCTGAGCAGAGCGTGTGAAATCGCGCGGAAGTAGCTAGTTTATTATAGTTAAATGCGAAAATTTGTGAGCTTCTGTGGAGGTATATTTGTTACTTAATCATGTCAAAACGACTGAAGGGATCGGGATAGAATTTCGAACAAGGATAGATTATTATCTGGAATAACATAACTCTTTTTTATTCCACGGACAAGTGGACGGAGGGCCAGTAGAAGCTAAGGATTATTAAGTTATTATAACTTCAGAAATTTTAACAAACCATTTCTACCTCCTATTAAAAAGACAAATCGTTTAAATATAATTCAATCGTGTGACAGAGATGGTGATTAGAAAAGGATAGCTATATACATATTGAAAAGAGAAAGGTATATTTTATATAGTCTATGGTCTTGAGTGCGTGAAGGACGCAAAATGGAGGGATTTTGACGTTAGTGACATATAGAATGGTGTTACCAGGGTAATGGGGAGCGCATTATACGTGGGTAATTTTTTTTTTGGGGTATTAAGAAAATACATTTATATAGGTGGTATTAAAAGTCATCATCATCAACAACAGCCTGCTGAGCAAAGCCTCTTCTCACACGGAGAAGGGTTGAGCATTAATCACCACGCTTGCTCAATGCGGGTTGGCGATTACAAACTTACAATTAGAAATTATAAGTCCAGGTTTCCTCCCGATGTTTTCCTTCACCGTTTGTCAGTGGTGTCTAGATAATCTTAGATAGTACACATAACTTAGAAAAAGTCATATTGGTACTTGCCGTTGGTAGGTTTCAAACCCGCACCCTTAAGCAAGAAATGCAGGCGTCTTAAACCTCTGGGCCACCACGAGACCACGACACAGACGAAATAGTAAAAAGTACCCTATGTGTCTTTTGAGACCATAATCATAACCCTGTTAGGCTATTTCGTATCAATCCTAATTTTCAACCTCGATCGATTATCGCCCGTCATTGGTCGAGATTATTCACAGAACCAATAACGTGGCGGACCACAATCGAGTTCACTGCGGTCTCTCGAATTGAAAATTACAGCCTACTTTTTTTTATGGCATAAGCCGGCAAACGAGCAGACGGATCACCTGATGGCAAGCAATCGGCGTCGCCCATGGACACCAGGAACACCAGAGGCGTTACAAGTGCTTCACCGGCTTTTTGGGGATTAGGAGTTTGAGGATCGTTAGGGATTCAGGGATTGGGGAGATTGGGGAAGGGGAAGGTAATTGGGCCTCCGGTAACCTCACTCACACGACGAAACACAACGCAAGCGTTGCTTCACGTCGGTTTTCTGTGAGGCCGTGGTATCACTCCGGTCGAGCCGGCCCATTCGTGCCGAAACATGGCTCTCCCACACTTTAAAGCTTAGCCTAGTTCAGGGCTTCCTAAAGTATTGGTCCCGACCCATTGGTGGGTCGCAAACCAATTTTTAATGGACCTTGTCTGTTCAATTGTCTAACCAACTGTTCTGTATTTCACTTTTTATGTTTGTAACGGTTTAATTTCCTAAAATTAGGTCCTGAGTTTTGTTTGTAACTTGATTTAGATAGGTCGTAGTTCAGAAAACTTTGGGAACCACTGGCCTAGTTGTTCCAAATGTCATCCCAATTCCTTCAGCCATTTTCAAGTGGTTGAGTAACAAAGATAACCAACAAACTTCTAGATTTATTTATAAGAAAGAAAGAAAAAATAATTTATTCGCCACTAGGCAAGGACCATCAAATATAAACACATAAAATAACATTGAAAAACAAAAATAAAAAAAAACAAAAAAGTAACATTAAATAACAGCAGTAAAAAAAAACAAAAAAACTATAAAAAAAAGGAAAATAAAAGAGCA